TTGTTGCTCGCAACGCGCGCCAGGCTGGCCTGTAGCGCCGTCACCTCGTTGGTGCGGCCCAGTACGTGGGCGGGGGTGCGCAAGCGCCCTGCGCATGTCAACGCGTAATGTTAACATTTTAGCCTTCTTGTCAGAGTTGATCGAAGTTGCAACTCACAGACCGTGAGCCAGGTGGACCACAGCGCCCTGCGGCCGACTCTAACCAGGTCAGAAACCAAGTACTCTGTCAGCTCTTCCCAAAGGTTGCATTTCGCAGCACGTGGGCCGGGGTGCGCAGGCGCCCTGCAATAATCGGCATCGGAGATTTAGAACCTCCCAGAACTATGATGATTCTGAATGTTGGACAGGATTGCAGACGTAGGCTCGATGTACAACGACGGTGGAAGGACGGACCTACCCAGTAAGCGTCCGTGCCTTATGACGTTATTCCGACCAAACACCCGGACGAGATACTCTGCGAGAGCCATGACGGCCCACTGCGATAGATAACGAACCCGCAATCAACCCAAAGCAAGCAATGATAGTCTCGCCCAGCAAGGTTCACGAGAGGTCAGCTGGACTCCTCAGAAAATAGAGAGAACTTTTGCCTCTTCTCGCTGGTTTGCCAAACAACTTCCCAAAGCAGCACGGAACATCTTTTACATGCAGCTTTGACGCCAATTCCTGTCCTCCGTCCGTTTCCTACCCTTGCTTTGTTCATCTCTACTTTTATCGTTCCCTCTCCTCTCCGTCCCCTCTCTCTTCCTCCATCTTTTTACCGGAATAAGACGTGAAGCTCACCAGTGTGATCCCCCCTGCCAAGCGGGAACTCCCGCACCTCCCCCCGGTTCAGCTGCTCCAAACACGTCTGCAAATCTGCCCGCAACCCTGCGGCCGTCTGATACCGCCCTGCCGCGTCCTTCACCAGGAGCTTCATCATAATGCTGGAAACAACTTCCGGAATGGCGGGGTCGACGGCGGCGGGGGCAACCGGGACCACTGCGATGTGCTGGTACAAGCAGGAAAGCAGTTTCTTTGTCGGTCGCCATAGGTGATGCAATAAATGTAGGGCCTTTTGCGTTATAGGATTCTGGTCCTTCAGGTTTGAAGAACTGAGCTCAATGCAGCAACGTAGCTCCTAGGTTGCAATGGGGTTTCCAAAAGGCTGAGAAGAACACATACAAGAATCGCCGAATAAAGGGTCATCCCGGGTCATGTATTCGGAACTCCGTCAAGAGACACTCTCGGTGGCGACTTGGCAATCTCAGTTCAGATACCTCATTTTTCCACGTCCCCGCACCAGCTGTTCGATAATTGGCTGCTTACCTGATACAAGAGTTGCTGAAGTTCCTCGGCGCGGAAGGGGCGTTGTCCTGTCAGGAGCTCGTACAGTGTCACGCCGAGAGAGTAGAGGTCCGACCGGAAGTCGACGGCGCGGTTCACACGGCCCGTCTGTGAAAAATTTGGAGCGAGTTCAGCACCTTTTGGTTTCGGGAGGCTTGCTTTCGGTCCGCTTGTTGTGAAACTCAGTTCTGGAGACAGTAGGCCAAGATGTCGGCTTCTCCGTTACAGAACGTTTGCTACACAGCAGTCGATGTTCAAAACGCAGCTTCCGGTGAAAGTTTCTACAGACGGTGTTCTTCTTCGTAAGGTGCCAAGTCGTATTCGAGATAAGCTCAGCGTCGTTCCCAAATCATAATCTTTGATCCGTCCGTTGGAACGTTCGGGCGTCAAGGACCTTGTGAGCCCTATGTTCTCAGACAGAGGCTCAGGTAATCAAGATGGTAGGCACCAAAGGAAATAGCGTAAGTAACTCTTCCTTGCAATAAACTGCATTTAGTCAGTCTATATGGAGGAACCAGAACGCACGAAAGCCGCTCAAAAACCAAGTTTGACAGAAGCTAGCAACAACGTCCTTGAAGTGCTCCAATGTGCACACCTATCCACGAGAATATTTACCTTCATCCGAAAGGTAAACCACTTCGAAATCTTTAAACCGCAAACGAATTCAGACCACTGCCTCCTTTCAGAGCATGACTTGGATATCTCAGCTATCGAACGAGTACATGAATTTGATAAGGGAGCTCTTGAAAGCGTGCTTGCAAGCGCCGCACCTGTTCTGGGCTGATGTATGCGGCGGTGCCTTTCATGACGTCAGGGGGCATCAGCATGCGGTTCTCCTCGGGGAGCCAGCTCGAGATGGAAAAGTCGGTTAGCTTGACCAACCCCAGGTTATCCGCGACCATTACGTTGGCCGGCTTGACCTGCACATGCCAACCTTAAGCGAATTACGTTTCGAACTATTGTGACTTAACCTATCTCGGGCCTTAGCCAATTAGTAACCCGCTCGTTGATGTATCTGTGGTTATTCTGTAAGGAAAAGTCCCTCCTTGTCCTAGGCTACATGACCACTCACAAAGCGCCTGCCCAAACTCTAATATGGCTTCACCAAAAGTCCGCGGTACGCATCAACCGTCTTACACCTCACTCTAACAGAAGCTGACGATCGATTGGGGCCTTCAACAGGCAAGTCAGCATGATTAGAACCATAAGGAGGCGCCTACGCAATGCAAGGCCAGTCATCCGTGGCTTGAACTCAGGACGCGCTTTAGTCACGACCATTCGACCATGCCTTCGTTTCCAAGCCCCCCCCTCTTGTTGGACACATTGAGAACTTTTTTCTATATGCACAGAACGTTTCCCTCGCTCCTATAATGTGCTTGACAGAGTCTTCCCCCATGACCAGCAACAAACCTGACCATAGTTGGAGGTCTCTTTGCTGATCCAAAGAGGCCTATGGACCGACCCCCATTCCAGCCCCGCAGTGCCAGCAAATGATGTTGCCACTCACATCTTTGTGGATCAGCCCCGCCTTGTGCAGATGCTCCAGCGCACTGGCCACACCAATACCCACTCTGAGCGCATCAATGACGCTCAGCTTGCCCCCGCCGGCATATGCCTCCAGTGACGTGGCCCCCAGGTCCTCCAATACCAAAACTGTTTGGCCCCCATGCTCAAGAAGCTCAGAAGCGCGTGCGATGTACGGGGATTCCTGGTCAGCACAATGGGGCAAGCTCCATATCAAATATTCATCACAAAATTGGTGATTTACATCATCATAATGGTGGCAAATGACAGGCAGGACAAATTTTCCGGTACTTCTCGCTTTTTGAAACGGTGGCTAACTAAATTCAGAAGTACTTTTATGTTACGTTTTTATGGTGGGAGAGAGAAAAACTCACAGCACGGTGAAGGAAAAGGTGAATGGTATATTCGTTGGACAGGCCTTAATATTTGACTGAGAGTAGTATGGCAGATGTGACTCAATTCAACGTCCAATGTCCGACTCCGGCCTAATCCAAAATTCAAACGCCGTATGGGTGCCCCCGGGCAGGACAAAAACTTCCATCTGCTGGGAGTTAGCTGTTGTAACCGATTGAGCTAGAGCCAGAAATCAGGGAAGAGCGATCTCCGAAAGATCAAAACCCGTTGGTGCATCCCGCATCCATCAGGGGCGTCGTGGATGCCCTCCGCACATTGGCATCCTCCGTCAAATGCGCACAGCAATGAATGAAAAGAGCACTTCTTGAAGTGCTCTACTGAAATTGGTTCAAGAAACTAGTAACCAAGGCTGGTTGAAGAAAGTTGGAGCCCAGGCGTCTGAACATCTGCGGGGCAAAAGCAAGCACGTGTCAGCACACCTGCTCGAGGGGATACTTCTTCAGAGTCAGCTCACCTGCAGGTCTTTGGTGACATCATACTCCCTGTGCAGCCTGGCTCTGGTGGCCGGAGACACCAACGCAGCCGGCACGGTCTTCAGAACCACCCTTGAGTTGTCCTTCTCTCGCTGCGCCCGATAGACCACCGAGCGCGACGTGCAGTAGACTTCTCCAATGATATGAAAGCCAGGAAACTTGAAAGCCTCAACCTCCATCCCTTTTACAGTCTTTCTCCTTTCCCCTCAAGCTAGCTGTTGTCTAGCCGTGAGACTTGTCATCTGACTGAGCCTCAGCTGGAGCGCCTGGATCTCTGATTTGACCGCAAAGACTCTAGTTAACCATTCAGACTTTACCACCACGGTTGCTGCACAAACGTGGTGAATGCTTGACTGCGACAGGCTGCAGGATTACTGGATTCATGTCTTGCCATTGAATTGGGCCTCAGTGGTGATTAACTAGATCAAGCTTGGTGGTTAAGCAAGAGGAAAAACAAGTGGTAGCTCTGACTTGCTTACAGTTTTTGCCTGTGCCAGTAAGAAGCTGCTTGCTAGGTATGTATTGCTCCTGCAAACAACTTTGGAGTGCAATTACCACCAATGGCAAGAGGGGAAACCCCGGGGCGATACATCATCGTGCACTGCCTCCCTTTACTGTATGTAGCCATTTACACAATGGGAGATGCAATCAACATCAGTTGAAGATACAAAGACGTACAACAATGTGGCTTCCCGCTTGCACATTCTTTTCTGGTTCAACATCACGCCTTTCTCCTGAACAGTGAACTTGGAAGTCGAAAGGCTTTCTCAGTTTCTGCTTGCGCTTTTCACAGTTGATCAGCATGATTTTCGGCAGAGCCACGCTATCCGCGGCCGCCCGCAAACCCGGCTGGCGCGCGCGGGCGCGTCACCACAATGTGACGTACTCCGTCGACTCATGACTAGAGAGTCCTCAGTCGAGACGGCTCGAATTATATTCGTCAAGGCGCATGCTGCATACCTAACGTACATATAGGTATAGGTATAGGTATACCAGAATTGCCTACTTCAGCTAAGATCGACCAATGATTCGAAGACGATACTAGCATCTCAATCCTATGCTCGGTGCAAGAAGACACGCCGCCGCCGCCCTTTTCGCGCAAAAGCAGCCGCCATAATCGATCTCGAGTTGGCCCACGCTGCTGCTTAGGGCAATGGATATTTCGTCCTAGCTACTATAGGCTACAAACCCCTGGGCCGGGGATGTCCATGCAATTCATGTGTTGGTCTGAATCGACTTTCTTTCCATGTAAAGCCTTGCAAGCTTCCGCCAGACATACACGTTGATCGAAGGTACCTTAGGGCATAGTAACTGGGATAGGAGTTTGAATGAAACGGGCGTAAAGTTGCAACGAAGCTTGAATGCATGTTGCATAACGGAGAGCTTTGTCCACTACAAGTCGCCTCGGGCTTTTCCCAGCATCCAGTGGTAGGTCCCCTATGCAACACTACCTATGTCAATACCTTTGAATCAGAGACCTTTGAGCTTGATCTCCAACGGGTCCAGTGCTACAGGCATGTACTTCAATGAGACTACATCGCTAACCTCGTTCAAAACCTGCAAGAACAAAGTCGAGGTTGTTCGAGACTTCTTCGAGATTAAATGCATGATAAACAAGAGCAAGACTATCGTTAGAATCACCAGTCTAAACATAGTGTAAGAGAAAAACTTCCTGAACCGGGTTGGGTTGGTTCCTGTCACCTTGTGCTTATCAATCTCCTTCCTTCACGTGTAGGAGTTGATTGTCCCACTCTAGACTGCATCATGGCCTGAATCCAATCCGCAACTACAGCCTTCCGACCTCCTTTGGATGTGCCGCTTCCCAACAAAAGCAGGGCAAGAGCAAGTGGAGCCCAATCCCGTATCCGATACCCACAAGCTCGCAAGATCCTTTTAAGGCTGATAGAGTCACACTCAGTTATGCTCGCTACTTACCCGTAGCGCGTGCTCCAGATCTGCCCGTGTGTGTGACGCGCTTATGCAAACTCTCGCCCGCGACAGGAGCAGCGGCGTCGCCGGGAAGCCGACAACGACCACCGCAATCTGCGAGAGATTGCTTCGTTAGCATGCACTCTGGAAGATTGTGGAGAGCCCTACGGAATCTGGTCGTTTGCGCGACAAGCAGGATTGAACAGGGTCTTCGATTGCTGCCTCTTCACACGACGGTCAAGCAAGCGACCTGTCCGTGCTCCAAGAATGTAGTCTGCATGTTTCGTCCAGGACATGCTCCCCAACTTGTCAAACCCAACAGGGCGGTGCCTCCTGGTGCCTTCTGGTATTCTTCCAGCCACAAAGCACTTCTATTGGAGACTGGCAGAACCAGTACTTTGAGCAACTGTCAAAACCCTGGTTGGCGGACTTCACAAAACACCGGGAACCGCTTAGGTACGCCCTCCAAGCGACATCTCAAAAAGCTTCTAGCACGCTTTGCCGGAACGGCTAAGAGCCCACAAAGCAAACTAAGACACGATGCACCCCGCACAAGGAGCCGACAAGCACGCAATAGTTTCAGGCAACGAACAAGGCGTCGCAAATCCTTGAAGAAAGACTCCCGTAAGAACGGTCGTGGGGCTCACGTTTCGCTTTAGGCACTCGCGCGAGAAGGCGGGAATCTTGGCGGGGTTGTAGAGCATGACGGGCATGACGGGCGAGTCCTCGTCGCCCAAAACCTCCACGCCTAGTTTGCGCAGCTCCGACCGGAACCAGTTAGCGTTGTCGTGCAGGTCGCGGAGCTTCTGCTGACCTGCAAACAACGAAACGACGGGAAAACCTCAGTCTCTGACTGGATGAACAGAGCGGTGTTTTTACATGTTAGGGCTGGAAATCAAAGAGCTTTGTGGTGACAACTCGTGCTGATTTACTGGCCTGTACGCGGTAGACTATTAGGTTTTCTCGAATCGATTCATAGTTGAGCCCCGGAACGAGCAGTGGTGATAAGTTGTTGGTGCGTAAGGGAAGAAGCGAAGCTCTCCGTCTGCATCAGATCGCAGACTCCATAGATAAAGATCGTGATGGCTCTTGCGTGTGCATTGCAGTGTATCTGCTGGCTTCGACGCGTTTGCGGACATTGGAAACGTATGAAACGATAAAGGCCGTTCTCTATGTCGGCGCGAGAGGAGAAGTCGAGAATCTCCAGATTTCTTGGAACCACTTCAGTCTAGAGGCTGCGGTACAGACAGTAAGTATGCCTGGACCGGAGACAGTGGCAGGGAAACTACTTCTTAATTGTCCGTAGAGAACACAGGAAACAGACTTCAAAGGAGAGAACAAACGTTTATGATCAATTTCACCCTCGAAATCGCCATAGTAAAATCGAGCGAAGCAAACCAACATCTCATGCATCATCTTCACTGCTTCCGTACAGGTCACGCTGCTCCTGCTGCCCTTGTAACTGGGTACACAGAAGGCCCGAAAGGAACTCCCAAGTGCGCGTAAGCAACCTCACCTCGCGTTGTCCCGTCCTCCCCTAAAAGGACCTTGAACGAGCTAATGCACTGCTGCACTGCAGGGGGCGACATCGCAGTGGCGTACAGAGACCCCGGGCTCGTGTGTCGCAAGTACGCCACGAACTCCTGCAAAAAGGGGCGACTCAACCCTGTTAGCAACTACTCGACTGATCGCCTTTCAGTTGATCACGCAAAGTTGAGACTGCTGAGATCAAAGGCTTGAACGATCGGGATGCCTGCAGGGTCAGAAAGGTCCAAGGCAAATCAAACGGATGGAGAGTTGGGTACAAGCAAGCAAAAGGTGCCAGCTGCCAACCCAGGGACGTAGCCCTCTTTAATGCAACTGTATCTCGGATCTTGACAAGGCTGATCACAGGAGCTGACGCTCAACCCCTCATCCCCGAACCGCAGGCCGACTATATCTCAGAGTCCGCCTCTGCAAAAAGACTGCCTGTGCAAACCGTAGCCTGCGTGAGACGATACTCTTTGTGTATCGTCTCACCTCCGACCCCGCCAGGTACCCCCCGCACGAACCGAACGACTTTGTGAACGTCCCCATCATGACGTCCACGTCCGCCGGGTCCACCCCCGTCTGCTCGCACGCCCCTCGTCCCGTGCGGCCCAGCGCGCCGATGCTGTGCGCCTCGTCTAAGTACAAGTACGCCTGTCGCGAAAGACCAGGATTTCACCGACTAGGACTCCGATGAATAACTTGTTTTTATCCGTGGGGTATTTTTAGCAATTGAGAAGGGTTCGGGGCCACGTGGTAAGAATGCAATACGTGCAATGACCGGACAGGTCGCTATATTGAGCCAGGCCTTCTCAGCGCGTCACAGGGAAGCGCAAAATCAGGAAGCGTTTTCTCACGAGATTCGCGTTTTTTAGATTTAACATAAACTTGGGCACGGGTTGTCTGCCTCCAGAGGAAATGCGGGATACCTGTTCGAAGATTTGAACTAACGACTTATTGCGATGATATCAGATCACAGCCATGCTACGGTGAAGCCACAACTTGGAACGCCGCTCACCTTGTACTTCTTTTTCAACTCTACTATCTCGGGGAGGCGGCAAATCTCCCCCTCCATACTGTAGATCCCCTCGACGATGATTATGATCTTTTTCCAGGGGCGGTGCGTTCTGGGCTGGCCTTCCACGATGCTTTCGCGGAGTACTTGCTCGAGGTGCGAAGGAACTGGCGAAGACGACAAATTGCGGTCAAACAACGTCAAGAAGAAATCTTCAAAACAGGGGAAAAGATTCGAAGTTTGGAGATCTTACACAAGTGTGACAACCCCTTCGTATGGAATGCTCATCTTTCGGACTAGAAATAGAATGACTGTAAAAGAAAAGCAGGACAAAGGAAAACCAAGAAGAAGCGGATCGCGTCGCCTCGTTGGTAAGCAGCAAAGATAGCCAATTCCCACCCTGGACAAAAGACAGGTACCACAATGCTTCCGTTTCGAGGTAAGGAGTCGAGCCAAGTACTCACTGTTATGTTGGAACACCGCGATCTTGGCCCCCGAAGCGCGGGCGCCCGTCACTATGGAGGAGTGGTTCAGCGAGTCGCTGATCAGTAGTGTACCCTGTGAAGAGTGCAGAACCGTCAGCAACCATGCGGTTGTGCTGCTGAGAAACCTGCCGACATTCGAAATCTTGCCACGGGAAGCGAGCGACTTCCAAATGTTGCCGCCAGTCAAGAGAGAATTGTAACGGCCATTCTTTGCCACTCGCAATGACCCGCGGATTGGATCTCATGTTACAAAGAACGCAAAGTAGGTTCCAGAACTCCAACCTTTGCGTAAGTGTTCAACAAATACAACACTCACGAGCTGACCATACAATCTGGTTAGAGGCAGACACCGCTCAACCCTTGAAGTGCAACCTTCGAACCAGAACCCGGGTGCAGCAGTTACTACATCTGTCACCACGACCAAAAGATTGTCTTCCGCACAAACACACCCACCTTCCCCGCCATCGCCGGCAAAGTCGTAGAGTTCGTCGCAAACCCCATCCCGTAGACTATCGCGGCCGGCTTCCCGACAAAGCGCGCGACCATCTCCTCCAATTCCACGTGGAGCTCTGTGGTCCCGACTTCCATTCGGGAGCTGCACGTACTGGCGGAGTAGTGATGCAGGGACTTGACAACCCGGTCGGTGCAGTACTCGTCGGCCGCGGCAAAGCCGAGGTAGTTGTAGGAGCCGAGGTTGAGGCAGTGCCGCGTTTCTGGAAGGCGCCTGCGAGGGAAATGGAAGATCGTTCAGGATTGTGATGTGAAAAGACTTAGTTCTGTTATAGAAAGCAAGACGGAACAGAAAGAAGGAAGCTGTGGGAGCGGTTATTGTGCCAGCGTCACTCAAGGGAAGGCGCCCGCCAGAAACCAACCTGATTGAAAAAGCTAAGTCTACATTTAATGCGACCAGGAGGAGGGAGGAGGGTCACGGTAAGGTACTGGGGGAATGGTAAAAGAAGCTGAGTAGAATGCTAACCAACCAAGCAAGACAAGGCGGTACAGGGATTGGGGACGGAGGGCACTCAAGGCGCCAGCTTTTACAGCAAGAATAGGGAGATGATGATCAACTGATGGTGGGATCAGTGAAGGGGGTCCCTCAGAGGAATAGGGTACAGCAGAGTCGATATCACTGTCCTAGGCGAATTGGAAGGCCCACAGTTGACTAAAACCGTAAGCAGCTTCCAGAGTAGAGAGTGTGCTTTTCAAAAGCATAAACGATGTTGTAAGGCGTCACTTGATCGGGGATCAATCCCCAATCAGCGGCGAATAGTCAACAGACAGTTCTCTTCAGCACAGATCATTTGGCAAGAGCTTCAAAGCAATTCAAGTGACAATAAAGTGGGTAGTGGTACAGTGATCTGTTTGATGCCTTACTGCAGAGGTTTGCTACCAGCAGGACGCGTGCGCTCGATGACATCGATCCATGCGTCTGGGGCGCTGGAGATTGGCCGGTTCCAGCAGTCCTGCAACGTGTATGAATTGAAGAGTTCAACTGCGGGCCTGAGATAGAGACACACAACACTGGACACGTTGTGCAGTGTCCTAGATGCCGGGCTCTCAAGCACCTGATAAAGAGCTGAGGACACTCCCAAAGACAAAGGTGGAAGCGCCTCGTTTGATAGCTCCCATCTGCTGTACCTGAATGCGGTGGTACAGATTCCGAGTGTAGAAGTCCTCAAAGTCTCGGCACAGCGGAGCATAGCCCTGCGAGCAAAAGAAGGAGTCAGTGAGACCAGAGCAAAGGTCCCAACGGGGGCAGCATTAGCAAGAAGCTCTCAGACTAGTTTACACGACTCCAAGCCAGCAATCTGTGTGCAGAACAAAACTCACCACTTCAAATCAACAGATTACCCGTCACAACTGGCGACCCAGCTTTGCCATCTGCCAAACCAGATTCCACCAATGATGCAGTGGACATGGGGAAGCGTGCAAACTTACCTTGGGCGGCCGATTCTTCCTGAAGAACGTCCTGAACCAATCTCTGAGATGACCAAACACGAAGAGGAGCCCATAGCTGAAGTATGTTGTAAGGGCCGCAAAGTATGGAATCGGAACACCCATACTTCTGGCAAGTGATTAAGTCCAGGTAAGAGGAAGGTGCCTTCCGCAAGGCCTCGATTGCCCCTCCCCCGGACCAGTCAAGATCTAAAGGGTCTCCCTTTTCAGCTGATCAAAGGACGAAGGAGCTCAACACCGAACAGGCATTAGGATCAAGTGCTGCTTTTCAACCAACTAGAAGCAAGTTTTGCACCGCCCAAGCGCCTCTCTTTAACGACGCCGCCGCCTCAATCATCAATGAATGATTCCACCGACGGTCTGATCAGATTGAAAGTGCAGCCTGCTTGAACCATCAACCTTCAGCTTCCTACCATTGGCAGAGATCTCTCCCGCATCAAGAGATGGGTTGCCCACTGCTTGCGTTACCCTACCATAGTACCTAACATTGACCAATTGGAGAGGGCAAGCGCTAAAATTTGGAAGCTACCACCCTGGTACCCAGGTACTGTAGAAAGGAGAACTTCGGAAATTTGGAAAGCTCAAGAAAGTCGATTGTGGCTCCTTGCCGGCGAACAGTCGGCGACCACGCCAGTACGAAAGGTAGCGTTTGGTCGCTGCCACCCTCAGCCGTTGCCACCCTGGCGCACATATGATGCTGAGCTGACGTCACAGGTCTGCACTTTTAGGGTTGGGGTGGTTTGTCTTTTTCTGTTTCCAAAACCGCAAATGTCAAACCATGTCAAACCCTATTTTGTGAAAGGTGCTGCCTCTGCATTTGGCCATTGGGGGGGCATTCAATCACCGCAACTCTGGAAGAGCAGCTGAGGGCGCCTCTGGTGGCAGCTTTGGCGGATGTGAAAGGCTACCAGGATTTGGTAAACAGGGTCTCAGGATCGTGGAGGCTTCTTTCGGTACATCTGTACTCCAATCTGTATCTGTGTAGATGCGGGGTGCCACAGTAGAGGACAAAAGCAAAGCTCTGTAGGTGAGTCGTCATGAGCCCTCTCCATTCCAGCAATGTTGCATTGATGTGCCTTCCAAGCCAGCAAATGGAAGCCTGAAAGTTGTTTATTGGCGTTCATTTCCTGCACATCAAGCTGATCTGGTTCTTGTTTTGGAGAATGGTTATCTAAACACTAGACAAAGGATCACGGGGGCAGCCTTTGTTAGGCAATTGTACAAAGCAACAGCACCTGGAAGATAAGCTTTGGTGGATTTTTATGCGTCCCCCTAAGAGACAGGGAAGCGAAAACCGCATGGGAATTGAAGTCAAAGTGGCGATAAATGGTGACTTCGATAAGTATTGAGGCAGTCAGCTATCTTTCCCCGGTCCAAACTGATCGACCACATTGCACCACCAAATCCTACCTTGTTGTGGTGCATCTGATTTCACAAATCAGGAAATCACGACATAAGCAGATGCTTGAGTATCCAGCTTTCAGCGTTCAGCGTTTAGCTTTCAGGAGGTCTCCACATTCCCCTCTTGCTCCTTCTGGTGAAAGCAAAGTTGCATTTGTCACAAGGTGACAACCGTGTGACTCCATGAAAAGATGGGCTACCTGTTGCTGTTTTAAAAAATCTGTCGCGGCAAGGGCCAATTTCTAACAAGTTGGGCGCCCCCAGAATTGCTTGCCTGCAAGCCTTTTTGCCAGACGCTTGTAGCCACGGCATTTGAACAAGAAAGAAGTGCCGTGCAGAAAGTGGTTGCTGCCCCAATCTTGCCTGATAAATGTCATCCAAAGAAACTCAACTCTACCAGGGTGTCATGACTCATTAGGTCAGGGTACGCAACCCAAAACCTGTTTGTAAAAGACTTCTACACAGGCTCCAATCAAGTGCATTTGTCTTGTGCAGATTGGATTGCGCTCAGTCTGCAATTTGGATTGTGGATCGGTGGCAAGTTCTGAGGAGGGGGCAGAGGATTGAACCACATGGCTTGGCGGGCGTCCTTATCGAAGACCGTTCAAGAGCTGCGGATCCACCTCTGCCAAACTTCGCCAAGCAGCAAGGGAGTTAGGTGAGATGTGTTGCTACATCTGTGAAAAGTGGTCAGAAATGTTAAGGGGGAAGACCCTACTGTGGAGATGTCGCGGAAGGCTCCTAGTGTGATCTGTGAAACACGGAAGCAAGCGACATTTGTTGGGAAGGCTTCTTGTGAACTCAGTGAATGTCGCAAGCAAGCACTTTTTCAGGTCGGCCCCCTTGTCGATTACGATGCCTCTGTCAATCTGACGCGCTTTTGACTCATGCAGAGATTTTGTTGCGCATCGCTACCAAGAGCTTAAGAACCAGAACCCTCAGCTGCCGATTCTCATCCGGGAGTGCAGTGGGGTTCAACCTCGTCTCTTTGCTCGATTTGGTAAGATTTTGTTTGTCACTCGCCTTACGGTTCTTGTGCTACTCTTAAAGAGTGACGAGAATTGAGCGATAGACTGCTTGACTCGGTGAGCACTTCATGCAAATCTTTTGTGAGTGAGAATATGATGAATCATCCCAGTCATTAAGATCTTGTCGTCAACACTCCAAGATAAGTAGAGCTGCCAATCAGCATGATGTGGATTATCATGTTCACCTGCTAGTAACAAGGCCGACTTACTTCTTCTGTGCAGATTATGGAAAAGAGAAGGCGGTAGGGCTGGACGGGCTCGATGAAGCCGCTGTGGAGTCAAAGCTAGAAGAGCTGGTAAAAACGAAGCCTCAATAAAAGATGATTATGCTTGCTGGCCGGGCGCCAAAAGAGTCCTTCGTCCAGGGACTGCATATACCATCTATGTGTACGTAGAGTTGCTAACCGGTTCGCTGAAAGTGAATGGTACAAACCCGTCTGATTGCTCTTCGAATCTGAAAACGAGTCTCTCCATTGTTTGATTGGACAACTGTTTTGGCGGCCCCAGCACAAAGGAAGGGTTTAAAATGATTGATGGCGACCGTCGTAGCTTGCAGTACTTCGCCGGTTCCGACAATATGTACTAGGTCGGACCTGCGGCCAGCCGGGGGCCAAAGGCCGGCAAGGTCATCATTTATACTTCATCATGCGTGATCAAGCCTGGCCGCCGGCTGGTATCATAAGATCATTCGCGATCACACTCTCGGATCAAAATATATATAACCGAACTCTAGGGGGCCGCCCAGGCATGACACCTAGCTTATATTGATAAACATTTGAATATTTAAAGATGTGGATGGCTATAACTTTCAACCACTAGACTCAGCCGCCCGCTAGACTTGCCAGATCTCCGGTGTTGGCGCAAATATTGGAATGCGGTCCATTCGAGCGGCTGCTGCTAGAACGTTAATTGCAGAGTGCAAATTGAATGCATATATGCGCCGGTCGATCATAGCTCAGCCCAGAGCGCCGTGCATCATCCAACGATGGCCAACGATCATGCCAGATGGCGTATGCATGCCTGGTCCAGTGTGTCTGCGTGCAAGGCGTTGGTATGCTTGTAAGCAGAAGATCGAAGCCAGAACACCGCAAGTCCGGCCCCGAGCCAGACTGCTCTATAAACGCAGGGACGTTTGCCAGATCGGCTCGGTCTAAGAAGTATCGGTTCCTTCGCTTGTCCGCTACACGGAAACGCTGCTCTGGGCAGCCAACTCTTCGAGCAACTCTTTCTGCTCCATGGCAGTGCAAGCCTGCATGAGAAGAGCAATATCAGTGACGGGGCTCGATAGGCATTTGTAGGTCTGCCCACAAAAAGCTATTCAGCACAGTACTCTTGCAACCCCATGTCACACAGTGCCCTCACAGGCCGTGGTTCAGACGTAACGAGGTCCAGCGGCAAAGAGGAACATTCGCACACCGGGGGAAATATAGCACCAACGAATGCGGGCTAGGGGAACGGACCTGGATGGCGTCGTCGATCTTGCCGCCCAGGAATGACTGCAGGTCAAAGTTGACCTTGACGCGATGATCCGAGACGCGATTGTCCTGCAGCAGACATGGCACCCAAGCATTTCATTACGAGATACCGTGTTGAAGAGACGCAAAGAGAAGGGCTTCAGAACCAGGAGTTTTGCGGCAGGAACACGGTCTGGGTCGATTCAAACCAAGTTCCGTCGTCGAAAAAGGGCGAGAGTTTTGGATGGACCAATCAAACCGTTCGGATCTGGACTGATGCCAGCCGACAGATTCTGATCGGAGGCGACAACGGAGTGCCCGCAAAACCACGAAGATCATGGCTGTAAAGCGTCTCTAGCATATGCTCCAAGAGATGTGTTTGCTGTTGGAAAATTGATCTGCTCAGGTTGAAAATGGTAAAAGTGCAAGCCAACTGTTCAGCACTTTGGACGCTACCTTGTAGTTGTACGTCCGGATCTTCTCCGACCGCGAGCCCGTTCCCACCTGCAGGTAAGGCTCCAGATTAGAGGATGTGATGAAGTTCAACTCCAAAGAAATGTTTCAGGCTCTGCAGTACGGGATTGAGAGTCGGCGTATATGGGGTGCTACTTGCTTCTCTTACGTGGTATGCAGAAGCTTCGTCAGAGGTCTTTCTGCGGAACCAACGCCCCCTACTCTGAAAGCGCATCGAAAGCCCACAGTACGCACGTGAGGGCAAGCGCTTTGCGCGTCGAAGTGGCCACGCTTTGCCAAGTCTAACAGGCTGGCATCAAACCCATTGGTCTCGAAGACTCTGGAGGACCGTATAGTGAGGTATTTCAATCTTGAAAGACTGGTGTTCAACAGAAAACTCAGAAAGGAGGGACGAGCTGCAGGACCGCTCACTTGGGACTTCCGTCGAGAGTAGATCGCGTCCTGCTGCTCCGCCAGCTTGATCTCGTATCTGCACCGCCCCAAACGCTATGAGTAGACAGCTTCAATTGCACAAAAGAGATGACAAAGCCAAGCTGGTAAAGTCTCCTCGATGTGATTCTTAAGAACAACGATACAATCCTGCTCGCTTCCTCTGGTGCGGTCTGCCAGTGTCAGAAACTTTCAATTGGAGGTTCGAGCAGTAGATCAAGGGCTGTGGCCTTTTGGACCAGATACGAGATCAAGGGAGAGTGTCGCGCTTGTCTTTCTGTACGCGGCCCTACAAAATGCAAAGGTACTCGTGCGAAGCGTCTTATACTACGAGCCCACTGCATAGGGACGAAAACTATACCAGGACACGGGAAAAGGGATCATGACGTTCATGTCGTAAGCTTGATACCCCCGGGGCAAAAGGACCTGGTTCACATGAGCCCTCAAATGAGCCCACATGGATCTCAATTGCTCAAGGCCGTCCTTACTGATTCTCGGTCGTCCGGTGCCCTTGTCAACGTCAAAGTACACTCTATGCTTCATTTCGAAGGGAAGCTCTCCAGAATTGCTCACTCTTTCGGCAAGCGGCTCCACTGTTACTTTTCAAAATAAAGGGGGCCGACGCCAACGAAATTCTGCCACGTGTCACTCACAGCTTGGCCCGCAGCAGCTGCATAGCGCGCTCCCTATTTTTGAGCTGCGACCGCTCCTCTTGACAGAAGATGCGAATGCCCGTCGGCTTATGCATCAGATCCACCGCCGTTTCGACCTTGTTCACGTTCTGGCCTGGAGGAAAATGGAGGCGCAAGCAGAAGTAAGCAGAAGTCTGGGATTACCTCAATCAATTACATGCGAACGAATATGTCGAACACAGAGGGACCGGACAAAGCCCCTGATAGAATGTTCCGCTGCAGGTGACCGTTCTCGCGAACCGACTTGGAACACAACGGCGCAAAAACCCGCGCCCTCTATCAGCCTCAAGCTTTGCTTTGCTGAAAGCAAGCAGATCCGCAACGTTGAGCTCCAAGCCGGCGCTTGACAGCCTTTGCGATCCCGGAAAAGTGAAGGATCTAACCAAGCCAAACGGGTTTTGTATGAAGCCAACGTGTAAAAGCTGAACAAAGGGGACCTGGAAAGTCCGAACGGACGAGAAAAATCGAGAAAGGGGGAACAAACTGCGAAGAAAGGGCAAAGGAGCTAGAGTTAGCATAGTACGGAGAAGCCCTCGTACTGACAACTACCAGTCCAGACAACTCTGAAAACAGACCGAACCAGCATGAAACGTCAGAAGGGGAACAGTTGGCCTGTTCAGGTAGACGCATTCAGAAGATCAAGAAACGAACGCTCTTACCTCCCGCCCCGCCGGACCTGGCGGTGTGCATGTCAATGTCTTTCGGATCGATGAAGACGTCCACTTCCTCGGGTTCCGGCATGACGGCGACTGTGGCAGTCGACGTGTGGACTCGTCCCTGGGACTCGGTCGCCGGAACTCGTTGCACGCGGTGCACGCCCGACTCCCACTTGAGCTTACTGTAGACGCGATCGCCGGTAACTTCCAAAACGGCCTCACGGAAACCGCCAGCCTCGCTCTGCAAATAAGAATGGGTTATTGAGTTGGAAAGATTGGTAAGCAAGTGGGTTATTAGCCAGGTTAAAGGCGGAGGTCGCTGTCAGGATCGCCGGTCACTTCCGAGACAGCCTTCCGGCTAATCTCGGCTTCGGTGTGATGAAACTCAAAGGCTTAAACATACCGAAAGCTGGTGAAAAGAGGTGAAGTAATCAGTGATACATAGCTTGCTTGGAGCCGTCCTTGGCCGCCTCGAGAGTAGCAAGAGGTGATGCCTTCGGTGTGCGCAAAGAGCAGAGGTGTGAATTTATCGAACCCGATCTCGGAAAGATTCCCCGAACAAATGTGGTCAAAGAAATGAAGTAGTAGCGAAAACCAGCTTGAGAAGGCCGCCAAATAGGTCGACTTCAACCCCGCCACACCCACCGACTTTCATCGACAAAGATTGTTCCCGATTGTAGCCTAGGTCAAGTTCCTCAGAAGCAGTAAGTCTGCTTCATACGCGGGCATCCAACGAAATACCTATCTGCCTCGCTCTCAAAACACATCGGGAGGTCTCTGGGGCAAAGGGAATGAAGAAGGAGGTTACCGTTCTGGCTGCGCTTGGTCCGTAAGCCTGCCTCCACGGCGTTCGCAGTGGACTCGTCCGTCCTCGTGAACATGGGAATTGATGAGAAAGCACGAGTGGGTCAGACGACCTCAAACGAATGTAGGAAGGACTTTGCGTTGCCTCACCTCCGATAGGGAGACAGTGGAAGCTTTCCACCCTTGCGATTCGGAGTACTTCTGGTACATCTTCACCTGCACGCACGGACCCGTCGTCAGATCTCCAAAATTTGCTCGTTGGAATTCAAGTGCTGTGAATAGACTCTCCAGGACACGTGCCGTGAAGCTGTGAACTACTATCCCGATCCTTGGACAACACGACAAAGATTTTGTGGCTACATCAAACTCAATCTGGAATCAGTGCCAATTTCTGCGATGAAGCAGCCACAAATCTTCAGCCAAGCTTAGGCGGCAAATAACGGGAGCCGCATCCAAATTCATCTCGATAAGATCCGGTTCTGAATGACTGTTCTGTGACAGGAGCTTGTGGCACGCGAAGTTGGCATCAAGGGTGCAAGTCGCGAGGACTCTCGGAAACGCATCGTACCAGATCGCCAGCCCAGATGCCCGCTTCGTCTCCGCCGGTCCCTGCCCGAACTGCACGTGTGACGCAGAAGAGTTCGTGAGCGCTTTGCATTGCGGATAACATCATCGCAGCGACAGAAGGTGCAGTCTCGTCACATTGCACCACGATAGAGCCATTTTCAAAGTAATCAGACGGGCAAATCTTTTCAGCACGTTTTGACGAGACGTCAGAAGAGTATTTCGCCTGGCCGACTGACACACCACTAGAGGAAAGCCGTTCTCGAAGACAACTCTATCTTAGTGCGGTGCTCCGTACGAACGGCACAATTTGTCAATGTTCAGAAACCGTAACCGTTAGGCTGCTTGCTTAATTGTGGATAATCTTCGTCATGTGGTGTTCGTGTCCGTACGGATGTACCACGCTCTGAAGTAGCACTCAAGATTAAAGGGATTCGGTAGTCAGGCTGTCTGCTGACTCGTACGCTGTGCTTCTCATCGAGCTTTAATTTTCAATCTTCCGAAGTCCCAGTTTCTCGAGCGTTCCCTCGGAAACTTGAGGTCACTTCGGAAGGTGATTCCTTCGTCAAGCTTGACTATCGAAGATTCAAATCACGCACACGTTGCGCATGTACATTTTCTGCAGCGCAGACGGTTCTTCCTCTATCTTTGGTGCCCGAAGTTTCGCTTCGCGGTTCAGGTTCAGCTTAGGCACTCACTTTCGAGCATAATATTTTTGTCGTCCAGCGGGTCTCTCGGCACAAGCAGCAGCTTCAGCCGCTCCTCCAGCTCCGCCACGCGTGTCTCCAGCATTCGCGCCTCTTCGCGCGCCATGCTCGCCATCTCCGGATCCTCGCCCGCGTCCGCCTCCATTTCTGCACGGCAAAAAGTCAATCAGCAATCAATCATTCGGACACGTTTCTTTGATACGTCAAAGAAACTGTTCTTTCACTCGAAAGCCCCAGGTCCAGGACTAACTGTCCGTGTTGGTTGCAGAGGCGGAGCAGAGGCAAGCGGCGAGCCCAAGACGAGGATTCTAGCTTGATGATGCTGAGATGGGGGGTGTTGAGTTGGATGTGATCGGGTTGGAGTCCAGGGGCAAGAGTGACGTCATTTAAGAGAGGCTGGCGTGGCAAACCTCAAAATAGATTAACGGCTTACGGGTCGCTCGTAATCGTTTTCATTGAAGCCAGGATCCTCGTCTTTGGGTCTCCGCTTACCTCTGCTCCGCCTCAGCAACCGATACAAACAGTTAGTCCTGGGTCAAGGGTCTGGGGCGTCCAAAGCAAAGAGCAATCTCTCTGAGGTGACGTGTCAAAGAAACAGATATGAGTGATGCAGGACCTTTTTGATTTAGACCCGATGCCGACGTCCGAAGCTGTCTCTGCGTCTGATCCATTGCTTATAGTATTTCTGCACCTGCTGGCGCACATTGATGACGATACTGTTGTTTCCTAGCATCACGCAAGGATCACGACTCTGATGCATTCCCCACTCGAAGTACTGTTCGCACAATCAAATACGTGACTTGCTGTACACACGTGTCGGGCGAGTCTGACAAACGCCTGAACGATTCGTGTCAGAAGCAGGAAAATGCCAGGGTGCAACCTTCAAGTGGATCAAGACACTCCTTTAATTCCGCCGCTGCATCCGAACTGGACAAGCTGGCGTCGCTACCGACTCCCAAACTTTGCGGTGACACAGACTGCCTAAATCTGAAACTTCTTATTCAACCAAATATCTGGCATGCAACACAGGAAGGGGAGCCCCCAAATCTTACCTTTGGCCTCTTCTAGATTTTGCAGGCTGCTTTTGTACTCCCCATACGTGCTAACCACCTGCAACCGAAGCGGACGCTTGTCACCAAGTCGCTCTATGACCTCGACTCGGAAGCCACGGCTGCATCACCAGGCAGAGAACTTGCGACTCTCAACACGTAACGTCTTCTGCCACTCGCTTGTGTGTTTCTTGAGCGCGCCAACACTTTGTTAAGATCCTCGAAAGCAAGGTAGTGTTTGTCCACAGATCAAAAGGCTAGTTGTTGATCTCCCCAGCTGTTTCTCACCTCCTCCAGTTCCGAAACGTTCTTAGCAATTTTTTGATACTCGGTATTGTTGGACGCAACCTCCGGATCCGCCAGGCGCAACTGCAGAAACCACAGGGCAGGCCGTCAGGCTGTTTCAACGTTACCATTCCGTGCTAGTTCTTGTTAGATGTCAAAATCGAAAAGCCAGAAAGGAAGAAATATTCCTACAGATGGACACTGGTAACGTCTTTTCGAGAAACATACGCAAAAACTTGGGCTTGAGAGATTCCCGGAAATACCCCGCATCTTAGTTTTTTGAATGTGAACCGCAACAACATTAGCTCGAAATGCCGGACTTGCTTTGAGTGGGCTGCAAAGCACTTACCGACAGCTCTTTGTGTGTGCGTTCAGCCGAATCCAGCTTGTCGAGCAGGTATTGTTCCTGCAAAGAAAGGTGGCACAGTCGACCAAGTCCTCACGCTTCATGAATGGTCCATTGTCAGACCGCTGCAGGCAACGGCCACCAAATAGGCACAATAGGTGTCCCAGGACCCTGCGATTCGAGAACAAGGCCTAGAACTCCTCCAGCGCGCAGTGTGACAGAGGCGGGTGCACCGGACTTTGCGGGGAACTACGGGAGGAGTACGTCATGACACCGAGATCTAAGAAGACCTTAGAACCAGGAGAGAAGCCCAAATTCGGAAACACTTACCGCAGCCATACAAACGAAACCGTTTTGACGCCTTCTTTCGCTGATAGTGTGCCCAGGTGTCAGCGGTGTTCGTGACCCAAGCCTTCAGAAACAGACAAGCTCAACATGTCAGTGATAGGTGTCTCTTTGCTTCTTGCCTTAGCTGAGTGCGATGCATCCGTCTAGTAGTCAGAGCTCGGTCGAGCAAAAAGCGCAAGACAGCTCAAAATTTGCAATCCCCAGGGACTTTGCCTGCACCCATCATGCAGACAATATCTCTCAAGTCAGACTGGAGACAGCGTTAATCAAAGAGTCGAGGAAATCGAAAACGATTCTAGAACATGCCTCTCAAGAGCTCGTCTCAGAATTCCTGTCTCAGATAGATCTGTCACGGAGTCCGTGATCGGTCCTTACCAACTTTGAGAGCCTAGTGCGCATGCCCCCCTTCCCAACGGCGTTGTGTGGGCTGCCCCTCGGTTACATCTTCTCCGCAGAGACAGAGACGTTTTAGACTGAGCTAAGCAGATCCCCTCTGCTCTTGTCCTACTTTTGCAGCCCCTTCTCTCCAAAGAAGCCGCTGCTAGGGGCCTCGCATCCGCTGTCCGATTTTCACAAGCCCGTGTTTCTAGGCAGCATCTACCGCTAGCCAACTGCTGGCACCGCACAAAACTAGACGCCATCGCTTTTAACCTAGGCCCCGCGCCCGTTTCTTCTGGCGCCCTTGAGGTTAAGTTCTAAAAGCACGCTTGCTGGGCCTTGCTGTGGTCAATCATCACCAGGGGAGGTCTTCTGAGCAACGATGGGCCTGTCCAGGAGCCTGCGCAGGCTCACAGGTTTCTAGCGCTGCCTTCGAGTGTCTGCCTGGCACTGATGTTGACTCCTGCATGGAAGTGGTGAAAGAACCATAATGGGCCAGACGTCTTTTCCCCTTTGAGTCTAAGCATGAGCATGTGGAATGCTTTTGCGCTGCTCCACACGAAGATTGCACATTGAAGCTCTCCTGCCACCAAATGGTGGCAAGCCCATTCCTCCACTATGCCACCGGCAAAACAATGAACAGGACCAGTGGTTGGTGGTCACGGCCAGCTCGATCCACTTTCAACCAGAAGGTGGTGCATCAAGGCTTCCACAAGGGCATACGAAGCCTGCCAGCCACACAAACCACCTAGTAGGAAGCGCTACGCAGCTGGTTGCAACCAGACTAATGTGGTGGTGCAAAACCATGTCTCAAGGACTTTGGATAGTCCCTTTTACCTGCCAATCTGATGCGAGCATTACATACCAAAAAATACAGGCCTTACATGATGCTCCAAATGTCACACCCTTGAAATTTACCTGTGAGCATTGTCCAAGACCAATCCCAACCAAAAGAAAAGAAATGCCAAACACGACCAGAAGATGCGGCTAACTTGATATCAAACGGCTTGCTGTACTTACCCGTCACCAAAAATTGCAGTTTCAAATGCAGAACTGGTCCTTGCACTCGCTGGTGCAAACTCATTAAGCAGAAGTTTGGCTTTCCGGGCTTTGCTAGCAATGAGCGTGATCCAATGCAGATGCTGTTACTTATCGTCCTACTTAATCAAGACTAAGCTCTAGACCCTAGAGGCTGGAGCGTCCGTCCTCTTCCTTTCCAGGTTTCCTTCAAAATCGAATGCAACTTGCAAGTGCAACTCAGGCTCTAGAGTCTAGGCTCTGACCTCGGCGCGAGCAGCCAGGGCCAAGCGCGGCAAGCCTGGAGAAGTCAAGGCTCGAGTGTCATTTCTACAGCCGTCGATTGCCGGAGTGCCTAATCGATAGCTCAGAGTGCATCTGAAGTCTGAAGAAGTCCCTGCCGGCCGGTGCAACAACAGTACCGTAGTCCAAGGTAATGATTCCGAATAAATAAATAATTATTTGCATTCGGAAAGTCAGAAATTCAGGTTTCCCGTTCGGAAAGTGGAAATTCGGAAAGATTAAATAATTCTGAAATAGGCTTCGGAAGGCCAAAAACTGCTCAAATCAGCCCTAAAATGCGTCTGAACATAGGGCATTCGGATTCTGGTCGGAATCCGCACAAGTAATTCCGCATTCCTGGTCGGATTGTTGGAAAATATTACTTGGAAAATCCGGTCGGAATGATCACGTTGGACTACGGTACGTCTTCCGCTTCAGGTGCGATTCGCACCCGAGCATTTTCCAGATCAGATAAGCCGATTTATCTGATCTGAAGGACTTCCACCGTTCAGATACGGAGGTTGGGTCGGGCCATATTCTGGAACACCGTTCAGATTGGCCTATCTGCGCTAAACTGATCTGAAAAGGTGGCAATATGACATCCGTATCGCTGGATAGCTTTTCGAGCAATCTTCGACGATAAAAGTCGAAACGTGGAGGCTGAAATTTCAAGTACGGGATCCTGGTGCTGCCAAGGCCCAAAGTACTGAAAAGTACCTACTGGAAAATCCAGCTTAAAGGACCTACGGCCTATCCTTTTCGTTCTACGGGCAAATTTGGATCTGTCGATAAGGAATTTCAGATTCATCGTATCTGACCGCTTATCTGCTGGGATGTGCGAACGCAGTGCCGATAAAAACTTGCAAACCTGAATTTATGTGCGAACGCCATTGGCAGATTCATGGTTGCGTACCCATCGGCCGGTGCGAACGCCGCGCAGATTAGTTATCGGTAATCAGCCGGCGGTGCGAACGGGGGCGTATGCAGATAAGCTTATTTGGATTTATGTGCGAAGAGGATTCAGATTCGTTGGAAAGTTGGCCTTATCTGCGTGGGTGCGAATCGCCCCTCAGGCTTGCAAGTTGCCAGACATGCATGATGCCCATTCGGCTAGGTTTGCCAGCTAGATGCATGCGTCATGTACGTGCAAGTTACATGCCAGGTATGGGGCCTAATATGACACCTGATATGCTCTTGATTGGTTCGGCATTTCTCTGTCGTATTTGATCGAGCTGATCGGCTGCTCACCGCAAGCCTCATGTTGCATTGCGCGAGGCCACCAAGGTGGTCACCTTAACACACGGTTACTATCTTGAGCAAGCGGCGGCTATGCTGCAGTGCCGCATCTGATGCAAATTTTTGAGAACCTCTACAGATATGCTCTTACTGATGCAGGAATTTGACTTGCCACTTTGCAGCGCCAACAGCAATCTTTGCAACCGGGATCCATTTGACCTCTTTCTTCATCAACTTCACGGAAGGCTTCGGGGATATGATAGTAAGGGACATAATTTGTCGACGTACCAATCTCGACGAGCCATATCCAACATAACTCAATGGCATGGCATTTGAGAACTTCGCTGCGGCAACGCATGTAAGACGGGGAACCAGAATGTTTCAAGAGGTCATTCACAATCACCGCCTTGCAGCCCTCGCAAAGCGGCTCTTTCCTTTCTCTTCCACCGGCTTCCCCATTGCGACTGCCCTAGCCGCCCCCCTTGTCCCCTTCGGTATAAGCGGTGGCCGCTTATCATCGCCCCCTCGACTCTTGGCTGTCCGATTCTGCTCCACCTTCTTCGCAACCCCGATGCCCCCCCCTCTTCCCCCCACTATTTTCTTGACCCCCACCCCCGCGGAGCTAGCCACAACTTTCCTCGGTCTGCCGACAGATGACGTCACCCCGGCGGCCCTATCCTTCTCTTTCCTAAGCTCCTCTATCCGTTTCCGCTTCATCCCCTCCGCGACTTCGCGGCTGCTCGAGAGCTGCTCCAAGCTTTCCCCCCGCGCGATTGCATCTCTTATCTGGTCCGCCAATACCCTATCCCGACTCGTCACCAAACTCGTCACCTTCCCCTTCGCCCCGTTCCTAGCCGTCCTCCCCGACCTATGGAGGTAGTCTACCGGGTTTTTCGGGAAGTCGAAGTTGACAACTAGATCTACTTCCAAGTCGAGCCCCCGGGCAGCCAAGTCGGAGGCAACTAGAATGGGAGCAACGGTCGGCTCGTCCTCTTCCGAGTCCTCCTCCCACACCCATGGGTCCCGTTTTGAGGGGTTCAGAGGCTGGCCCGTGCGGAATGCCTCGAGGTTCGCAATCCTCTGCAAGAACATCGAAACGACGTCAGAAGACTTGGCAAACTGCGGTCGGTCAGTATGGGAATAAGAGAATCCGTAACAGATGCAGTGTGCACCAGCCACAAGAGGGACACGTGAAACCCTCTTCATGGAAAATGTAGTTACAAGTTACGACGGCGCTGATTGTAGTTCATCAGATTAACAGGCAGGTTCTCGATTGGCAACCCAGAATTCACGTTCTTCTCCGATCCTGCTGATACAAAGTTTGAACCAGGCAGCAAAGATAGGACACAAAGGACTTGCGCTCAATAAGCCTGCTATTTTGCACTGCCCGGGAACGCTCAACGATGACCCAGACCGGGAACCCAGAAGGTGTCAACTCGGCGCCTTCACCCCGCCCTGCACCTCCAATCAATGTCTTCTCGAGACTGTTGAGGTAGACACAGCCCTCAAAGAAAACTGATATCACCACAACTGTTCGCAATCAGACTGCTGACGGGTTCCGATGCTCGGATCATGAATCCTCCACTTACAGACCGTACGATCACTGGTGGAGCGGACGACTCAAGACTGCGGACCACAATCCAACCTTGACAGCTGAAATGGCGGGTTGACGCAATGAGCTGTGACACGCTTCAGACGCTCACCTCGCCGGACGGCACTTCCCCGTGGTACGAAACCGTCCGCAGGCCCGCCTCCTTGAGGTAGTGCTCCGCCGCTCGGCAGGAAGCGACCGTGTTGGAGAAGACCATCATGCGCTGCCCACGAGATTGTGCGGGGGAGGCCACCTGAGAAGGAGTGGTTGGCTCATGTCAGCGCAGAATGGGTCGGCGTCAAAAGAAACGTCGCTGGGAACTTTAGAGCCAGACTTCGGATCGCTAACATCTACCAAGGTGTTCTTGACATGACTTGATTGGTTACGGAAAAGATTGTGGGACAAGTCTTGCTTTAATACCGCGTCAGCAAAGAGTGGAAACAAGGAGGACCAGGTTGATCACAATGTTGAATCCAGGCCTAAAAGGAAACGACTCTTCTGAAATGTAGAAGAGACTGGGTGGCGCGCCCAGTGACTTGACAGACTTGCGGCGAGCTGCAGAGCAATGCGTTGGAGAGGAACGAACGAACAACTCTCGCCAAAACGAACAATCTGACGTCAACTTACGAACCAATCAGACCACCTCGGCCTCCCAAGAAACCAACTCCGTTGGAGACATCACACGAACGCGCTGCTTTGCAAACAAAGCTTCAGAAGAGCTTTGACATTGTAGCTTTCAGCAAACAACATCTAGAGCATTCTTGTCGGGACTGCCTGAACACGGCGGTCGTACCTGCACGAGAACGTCCATCTTGTTGAGGTTGCCCGCAACCGGCAGGAAGTCGTGGCGGCACGTGGACACCTTCTTATTCATACTAGTTGTGGTGACGTGCTGAATCCCGGGGAACTCCTCCTCCAGCAGCCGCTTCACCGCCTGCCAATCAAAGATCGCCACGTCAGCAAGTTGCAATGTCGGCACTCAATAGTTTCTTGTAAAGAGGGTTGAGAGAAGTACTATTCACCTGACATGCCAACAGAAACCCACAGGTTATTGTAGCAGAAAGAGGAGCCTGACGGCACTGATTTCCGGCATGCAATTCTTGGCTTAAGACATACCCCGAAACGATCAGCAAGATACCCCGAAACGATCAGCAGCATCAAGGCAAACACCATCCGCAACTTATCCGAGGACACAACGAACTCAGATTGCCAGTAAACAATCCACTTCATCCCACCAAATCGAGAGTGGTTGCACGTTAATAGCAGGCAGCTTTTGCCTACCAACTTCTTCAATCCCACTAGACCGAGAGTAACTGCAAACTAGTAGCGGGCAGCTCTTACCTTTGTAAGGGTGGCTGTAACGAGCACGACCTGCATGTCTCCCCCCCTATTCCGTAGCGGCCCCAGAATCTGCTTCACCTCAGGGCCGAAGCCCTTGTCAAACATGGTGTCCGCCTCGTCGAGAACGAGGTACTTGACGTCGCCCCAGAACAGGTGCCCCTGCTGCGCGTGCTGCGGGAAGAAGCGCGGTGTGGACATTAGCTTTTGAAGTTGATCAACATGGATCCCGCTTGGGCGTCCGATTTCAAAGCTCCGGAAATGCGCACTCCGTGCATCTGAGTCTTTTTTTGACGGACCAGATTGCACTTTCGACCATCTGGGCCCCCACCACCGTAGATGGCCTTGGGGTGTCCATGCATGGCCTACGCCCACTTTAAGCACACCAGAGACGAACATCAGAGGAGCTTGTACCCAAGCGAAGCCCAATCGAGCGAAACTTTACCTCACGCTAGTTGCACGCTAGTTGCCCCGCGCAATTCGGTAGCCTTTGGTGTGCTGCCAATGGCAGTAAATCTTGCTGTGCTTGGATCTTCAAGTGTAAGTCGCTTCCATCATTCTTAAGGCTCAGTGCAGATTACTGGCAAAATTGTGAACCACTTTCAGCTGGCTTTTGGGCTTACGAACGACTCTGAACAACTTCGACCACGTCAAGAATAAAGAATCCTACCGCCAGTAGAAATGAACTGGTCTGGATAGACGTTATCTGTATCACAGAACCCAATATGGTCCTTCTGTGCAGAGCTCCCCCAAAAATAAGTCCGCCTGTTTCAAAGTCGCTGTACCAACCACTGAGAACTTGGAAAACTACAATCCACACATCCAGTCCCCAGTTTCAAAAGGTCCCTGTGTCCAATCATACTCCAAACACTCCCGCGACTCACCTGCAGCAAGCGCCCCGGACTGCCCACCAGAAGGTCCACCGACATGTTCAGCCTCTCTGCCTGGTCCTTATCCCCATGCCCCCCCGCTATCAAGGCGGAGCTGAACTTGCACTCATGGCTCAGGGACTTAGCGACCCGCGAAACCTGAAAGCAGAGTTGGCTGTCCGTTTAAGTTGGGAGTCACTATAGAAAGGATTGCAGAGGAAGTCCAGAATATGGGACACTATCGTCTCATGGATATTGGGGGCATCATGGTTCCGCAAGGCACTTTGCCATTGACAGGGCGGCACATCCACACGGCCCAACTTGAAAAGCGCAGCAAATCTTCTGTGACGCCCAAAGCTCAAGGTGGTAGGTGATACAAAAAGTGCAGCCAGACTGTCATCAGGTAAGTGGGGCCGTAAAACCCCTTTTGAAGGTGATTGCCGATGCTTATTTTGAGAAGAAGCGGAAAGAGTAGCACTGCAACATGTGTCGACTCTCAAAGTCTGAAGTACCTTCATCCACCTGCTCAAAGCCCATTGAAAGGAGAGACTTATTTACGTCAAGAAAAAGATTCCTCGATGTTGGTGTATACATCTGAGACATCAAGGAAATTCAGTGTGTTGATTTTGCTTACCTGTTCGGTCAGCTCTCTGGTGGGGCCCAATACAATCGCTCTTGGCCGTCGGGGCCTTGAGCCCCTGAACCCGCCTACCACCTCATCTTCTTTCAGGGCCTGTATCCACAACGCTTCAAGTGAGCATCAGGCTTGGAAGGTGTTCGAAAGGAGCCCTCAGTTTAGTAGCAGAACGTAAGCAGCTAAGACCAAAGCCATAAACACTCCTGCCTGATACACCAAAGACAATGTTCCTGCCACAAATCGTTCGAGCACCAGTCATGCATCAAGCAGCAGATTTTAGGGTTTGCAAAAATTAGGGTTTTTGTCGCATAACTTGAAATTGGATTTAACGAAATTGGAGCAACCCATCAATGTAAGAAGTAGACCACTTTCCTGTAATGTGGTCAAATCATGATACAGCACCTCGTACCTGGATAATTGGCAGCAGGTATGCCAGCGTCTTGCCCGACCCGGTATGGCTTCCAAGAATAATGTCCTTCCCCTCAAGAATCGCAGGGATTGCTTTCTCCTGAATTTCGGTCGGCTGCTCCAGCCTCAGCCCTTCCTCAACCGCCTTGAGCAGATCCTCCCGCAACCCTAAAATCCTAAACCCCTCATCCCGTTCAGCCGGCTCGCCACCATCGGCCACCCGGTCCTGCGCGGGCAGCTGCCCCACATATGGTAACGGTATGTCCAGAATTGAGGAATCCCTCTTCACCTTCTCGCGCAGCTTTTCCAGCGGGGAGAGCGATGCGAGAGTCGCCCTTGTGGTAACGGTTCTCACCGCGTTGGCATTCTCAAGATACACAGGAAGTGCATTACGGCTTGTAAACGCTGAAGATGACGACGATAGCTGTCGGGCAATCAAAGACAATTCGCTCAAACTTCTGAGCACATAGCTCGTGGGCGCCCAAATTGCAGCGCGCTCTCCACCTGTAGCGCCAGCTGTCCAGCTTGTAGTGGCCAGCTGGCGATTGACCGTGGTTTGTGAAGCATTGATGGGAGTGGTGGGGCTAGCAGCGAGCCTAAGGCCCGCCGACGCCCTCTGCATTGCAACGAGAAGCTGCCTCCCTCTGGCTGCGGCAGGCTTGACGGGCATCCACCGTGAACAGGATTGTTGTTGTTTAATGGTAATATCTCTAAAAGCAGCTCAAAAGAATGTGGAGATGCTAAGAGTAAAACGATGTGGCCCTTGCGTTTCTTTGGGTTTGAGCGCCTTTTTCCAAACTGAAGCCCCCCGGATCCCTGGCCCTGGGCGGGCCGCCTTGCAAGGGCGGATTCCCCCTTTTCTGCTAAGAACTAGTAGTGGACGCGTTCTGGGTAGAGAGGTCCGAAAACTTTAGGTTTCAACCAATCAAATCCAGCTTTGTCGGTGACGTGTGTACCACGTGCCTAGATATGAAGCAATTCGAGATTCTGTTGACACAGGCGGCTGGCCCAGACTCCACTGCTCAATGCAGCATTGAATGCTGGTGCACCGTGCAGCACCTGGCACCCAGTCTCCAGAGACTGCCCAGCAGGCTGCAGCCCACCGCCCTCCCCAGCCTAGGCCAGCTGGTGGGATTCAAGTGCGCGCCCTCTGGCGTCCCTCAAGAGTCATTCCTAATACGCTCTGCTCTGCGCCAGGCAGCGCTGAAGGTTAATACGGCGAAGGTTGATCACGATCAAAACAGCAAGGCACCATGGCAGCGTTCAGCGTACAGCGAAGGTTAGGGCTTTGTAGCCCGGGCCTCACGGGGGGGGACAGTTCTGTCTCCTCTCTGAAAACCTTCGAGCGCCAGATTACATCGCCGCCTGTCATGGGTCCTATCGCTTTGCTTCATAAAGCAGACCCCGTACTGCGCTCTGACTTTCTAGGAGCTGCCACGCTGTGTGGAAGGGCCCAGACTCTCCAACCTTTCAGATGTTTGACCAAACCAAGGATCCGCATTGAGGCCTCAGCGCGACCAAGCTCTACCATGTTCAGAAGCAACCGACAGTTGTCAACCTGTCCTGGGAACATGGCATCTGATGGCGCTTCTAGAAGTCAAATAAAGAGGCGATGCCGGTGTCGTGCCGCATCAAGAGGAACTCAGAGGAACGGGTCTGAGAGGAACGGCCGACCAGAGACTGCAACCAATGGGGCAGCTGAAGCGGCCCCCGACGGTGCGAACAGAACCAAAGGGGCCGGTGTGAATAAGCGCACGGAAGCTAATGTGAACGCGCCCGGAAGCAAGTTCAGGTCATCGTGGGATGCAAAGGATAGTACAGGAAGGACGTACATCGAGAATCTGGGGAAGGCGTCGGAGAATGTGAATATGGTTGTGGGTGCTAAGGAGGGGATGATTGACTCCGTGTTCATTGGCGACTTCCTCGGCAAGGAATGTGAGCGAGCTGCCCCCTTACGTGGTCTACACAAAAGTTGCAGTGGGGTTTCTCATGTTTCGTATGATGTGCTCCGTCTCAAATAGGCCTCAGTGCTTACGATGCAAAGTGGCACCATGCCAGATTGCAACTCACTTGAAAAGTATCATAAGATTGAGTACGACTGGGCTGCATATGTCTTCTGCAAAGAATTGAGGCCAAAGTCCGCCTATATCAGCATCTGTTCTGCTTTGAGCTCGTCGGCCATTGAAATGTGCTTTGAAGGTGGTTTTTGAAGTTTGTTTTCAAGTGCGCTTCCTGGAGAGCAGCGATTGAGGGGCGTGCTTTTCATTTGTGCAGCGGACATTGTGTTTAAGTACCGCCAAAAAGTCACCCGCCAGTTTGGCCACATTCACGGCGACTACTACATCGCACCGGCCTTCATGGTACGCATCTCCTTCATTGTTTGACATTCAAATCGTGTCAGAGAGGCTCCACACTGTGAAGCAGAGGTTGCGCCTCCTCGTTGTAAGGAGTGCCCCAGCATAAAGGGCGGAAGCAGAACCGAGTTATGAAAGACGCTAGCTTTCAACAAGAGGCTTCCCCCACAGCGGCATCGTGTGCTTTGTTTTCATGACAGGAGCCAAGGCTTGGATGATTTCGTTGGGACTCGCTTACCGCTCCCGTGACGGACGTTTGAAGAGTGCTGATGCATCCGTGATTGGGCGCTTCTTAATGTGGCTGCTTCTTCTTGGCTCACGCGTTGACTGGTTTTCTGCATGGATCCACTCATGACCACAGGACAAAGTAGGTAAGAACTATCTCCGCCCCCCTTGCTGCGGCTTAGTGCTTTCGGCAGTCATCTTTATTAACTGCCATTCTTCTGAACCAAACCTTGAAATTGTGTCAGAGAATCGCATCTGGATCAAAGAAGTACTCTGTGTGTCCCGAGTAGTAGTGCAGGCTGCTTGAGCCGTCACTAAAGGTCCCCAGACAGGTTGCGAAGAAGCAGGTCAAGCAAACCCGTTGTTTGATTGAGTGTTCGCCATGTTGACTAGAGATGCCCAGACAGGTCGTGAAGAAACAGGTCAAGCGAACCATCTCTATTTCTGAGAGTTTGCCGTATTTACGCAGTGACCCATATCGCCAAGAACTTCCTGGCGGATCAAATCAAGGCACGAACACCATTGATACTTGGTGAGACCGAACCTGGATCCCAATTCGTGAAATATCCCAAGCATGCATATTAGGCGCGAATGCTTGAATCTGTTCCTTCGAATCGCCAATTGGCAACCATAAAAGTCGAGCGTTTGTGAGAGCCACACCTGGCGACAGCTTACTCCCTCGCAGCTGTTGCAAACGCGTTTTATTTCCTGAAGCAGGTTGACTGTGTGGGTGGTGCTTTTGCGTTTTTTTTCTCTTCAAAGGCATTTGTGACTGCCCATTTGACTTGACCATGTGCGCTTTCCATGCAGGCGTGTGGGGCGGCAAAGGCCAAGGGAAATCCTTCCAAGTGGAGCTGATTTTCCGGGCATTGGGACTGGAGCCAGTCATCATGTCGGCCGGAGAACTGGAGAGCGAGTGGGCAGGTAAGCAGCACGAACTTTCAACTTCCGTCGCTTTTTGAGAAGCAATGGTTTTGTTGCACGCCTTTCTGTGCATCTCAAACCATCCGTTGGTGAATTTCTGTTCAGTAAGACCAGGCCAATCTGCGCAGCGGTGTCATCGGACTGAGCATCGGTTCATGAGATTTTGGAGCTCGAAGTCACAGCAACTCGTCAAGACACCCCCGTGATCCCGTCAACCCGCCATACAGGCCAGTAGGCTGAGATTAGACATGTTGCCAACTTGCTGAGCTGTGCTGACGTCTGATCCGCTGACACGTGACTGCAGGCACGCCGGCTAGGTTGATTCGCGACCGGTATCGGACTGCAGGCCAAGTCGTCAAAGTCCAGGTCAGCAGCGCAACGTCGGCATGGCGTCACCTTCTGGAACCTCTGCGCCAGTGAAACAGTGCTGACGTCATCCCAACGACATCGTTTGTCTGGCCGACGTGTTTTTGAGCTGTAGCTCGACACAGGAATTGGTTCAGAAGAAGCGTCCAAAACTATTAGCGTCCAAAGTAGCTTCGTTGATTTGCCGAAAGATTGATGGTTCGTGCGCGTCCTTGTATGCAGGGAAAGATGAGCGCTCTCGTGATCAACGACATTGACGCTGGAGCGGGGCGCTTCGGTGAGCAATCTTCGGCGAGTTTACTCCTATGAATGTTGGTGCCTGCCAGTTTTTTGGCTCCTTCCTAGGGCAATACGAGCGGATAGCCGCATCTAACCTGTTAGCGACTACGGTGCCGAAAGTGCTTCTTCACAGGGAATCAAGTGCTGGTCAATTCTGGCAGTGACGTGGAAGCACTTGGTCTTGGAAAAAGGATCGTGCAAGACCATTTTTTTGTCGCCGGGCATGTTAACGGTCCACTTTATTTTCACCTCGGCTCTACTCAATCTTTCCAATCCCCAGCACTTGGAGACCGCGAAAAGCGACAGCAGAGTATCGGCCCTCGATACTGCACTCTTAGCGGCTCGTGAGCGGGCTACTGTATCATGGGCCAAATGGTCACTCATTCCTCGTTTTATTCCGCAGAGAACACGCAGATGACTGTCAACACGCAGATGGTCATGGGAACCCTCATGAATTTGGCCGACAACCCGACACGTGTCAGCGTCGGGCAGGAGTTCCGGGAGGCTGACGTGGTGCCACGTGTGCCCATCATACTGACCGGCAACGACCTCTCTACTCTCTGGGCGCCGCTCATCCGGGACGGACGCATGGACAAGTTCTACTGGTATGGTATCCTCTCTTTTATTTCTTGTTCGTTTGTTTTTTTCTTCGGCTTTTCGCGTCTGTACTCTTTCACTTTGGCATTGCATGCTCTGGGAAAAGTAGTTTCTAAGTTAAGTTGAGTTACGGCTATGTTGAGTAGGGTCATGCTCGGGGGACGGTCGGGATTGGTTTGGGTGTTCAGGTGGGTATAGGTTCGGAGCGTGTTGACTGTGGGTGTGGTTTCTACTTTGTTTGAGCCCGGGAAATTAATCCACTCAACCCAACATAGGCCTCGACAGGAGTTCGGATATTTCTGGTTTACCGCTTGGTTTACTTGGTGCTTGGTTTAATTGGTTTGCCCCTTGCTTGATTTGGTTTACCCCTTGATTTATCTGCTTTACCGCTTGGTCTTGCAGGACACCAACGCGGGATGACCTGATCAACATTGTGACGTGTATGTATAGAAAGGACGGCCTGGCCGAGTCCGACATCGAAGCTCTGGTCGACGTTTTTCCCAAGCAAGGTGAGGGTTCCTTTCCGTCAAAAACCTTCTCCTCTATTGGCGAGACTGTTCCACCTTCTCGGCTTGCAAACATGAATACTCACAGTGAAATGCTAATGCTTGATTGCCCGAGATTTGGCAAAGATTGGCTCGGTTTGTCTCCGTAAGATAGACTCCGTATCTACATGGGTTCGGTAATGAAATTTTATAATGGCTGTCGGGCGATCTCTGCCTTGCAGAGCGGAGCGTTCAAAGCCGGCACTGAGCAACAGTACCGTTAGTTCTAACCCGCATGCACGTTTGTTGCAGCGTTGGACTTCTACGGGGCGATGCGGTCTCGGACATACGACAACCAGGTTAAGAAAGTGAGTGTCGGCCTTTTCCCAGTGTAAGAACCAGTGCACGTTGAGCGTTCGGCATTCAATCCGGTGAATCATTTGTGTACGTGGATCAATCGAGCTGTAACTACAAATTTGTTGGGATATGCTAAAGACACGTGCTCGAGGATTTCGGCTCAACACTAATCTCTTCTATTAGAAGAACACTTTTGCATGTAATCAAAAGTTGGCCGCAATCCGTGATCCGCAAATCTTCAAAAGCGGGCCAAACCATGACAGTCCGAGAGTACCGGCGATGCCCCGTATTTAGTGCGCACTTTTCGTGAAGTATGCTGTCATCTGACGTCATCTGATGCTTCCCGATATTCTCTGCAGTGGCTCGACAGCGTTGGCGGCCCTGAGAAGTTGCGGAACATTTTCCCCGTCAGGCCTGGAAAGGAGCACCCGCAACTGGACCATTACCAGGTTAGGAACATGTCTTCTCCGTGGGTTGCCTTGACGAGCCGTGTAACTCCCCCAGGCGTTTGGCCAATCAGCGTAATGGATACCATTCACCTGGCAGGCCTTCATCTGGAATATGCGGGATTCCCTTAGAACCATGCTTGGAAGCGCACATAGTCTAAGCTTCTCTCTCCAGCATGGTACCTTTTGGTATCGTGAGGCTCGAGCAAGTTTTGAGTCGCGCATGAGATTTTGGTTCCTAAAATGACGCTGAATGCCCTTCACCACACTTAAAATGCTTCCGGTCTTTTGGGTTGACATTCGGACATTTTGAATGGTTCAGAGGAGCCTGCTGGTCTCATCCCGTGGCTATAGAAGCATATCGGAGTTTCGTCCAGATTTGTGACCTCTCCCGACTTTTCCGCTTTTCATACAAAGCGTGCGAAGCTTTTGGTTATTTCGAGTCAGTCCGCAAGTGTACGGCGAGCCTCGGTGAGAAACCCGGCTTTTCTGTTGCAGCAAACCCTGGAGAACCTTATAAAGGCGGGAAGGGAGCTTGTAGAAGAGCAGGAGATGGTCACGAGTTTGAGACTATCGGATGAGTACATGAACTCGCCGCCCGCTGGGGCGCCTGGTATAGGCCTGACACTTTCGTAGAGTGTACAATAGTCCTGGCGTTGATGACTGTTGCTCTATAGGTTCGACTTCTTGGAAGTCCGTTTTTGCGTGTTGGATCAATCAGGCAACGGAAAGGTACAGTAGAGGAGTTGCATTGCGATTGCAGTGCTCTTGGACGTGTGGCACGTCCCTTGATCTCAAATACGGCAGCCAACCGTTCCCCCCCCGGTCAAATACTGTGTTCGCTTTCTCTTCTCCTTGTACGGTCCTGACGGTATTCAGCTTTGCGTCAATTTGTCTAAATTGTTTGATTATTAGTGCAGTCAAATGGCAAGCTGCGACTGAGTCCCACCAGGACACTGGTCGATTCATCATGTGTTGATGCATGGCCAGTGTGAAACAGCGACTCGTGTGTCGGACCGTGTATGTGATGCTATCTATATACGCTTACATGCATGCGCCTTCTATCATCAATGGATCCTGTTCTGAAATTGCGTTCGATTATGCACTAAGCATATAAGGACATGCACTGCATCATTGGCCGGCATCACTAGCTTCAGTGCTGGCATGGCATGCAAGAGCTATCGCGCTTAAATAAGTTGCAACCACGATCCGTCTACGTCACCGGAACCCGGCGCAAATTTGCCATGCAGATCCAAGCTGTCGTAGTCGCGGTACGGTTCATGCTTGTCAGCGCATGTGGCTAGATCAGATCGTGTGTATATATCGTACGCATTAATATTAACTAAGTTCGAATTGGATCGCGTTAGTACCTAAGCAGTGGCGCCTGCGGCCTATATATCATTGCACCGCTGGACCAGTGAGTGCCGCTGTGCATCATGGCATGGGAGGGCGATAATTCACCAAGGCCGCGTGCGCGGCCCGGACAAACCACGTCAACATGCTGGCGCGCAATTATCTTGCACAATGCCAAGGGCACCTACTGTATCCCTCAACAAGATACTAATACAGCATACCACTGGCACGTCCGTGTATGGACCACAATATATGATACGTACATTGCGTCTCGACGGTCTGTACAAGACTCCAGGTCGATCTCGGAGGAGAGTGACGCGCATTGGCAAATATGTCAAGACCCGGTATGCCACAAATCTTGACCGAATAGCTGTTCAGCCAAAGCCGGCCTCAGACTTGACAGTAGCAACAAACTAGACCAGGTTCGGAGTACGGACCTAACAAAACGAACTTGCAAACAAGTGCCTTGTGGCAGATTTTGGAAGGGCGTCTCTGGCCCCTACGATTCGAGATGCTCCCACCTAAAGCCCACATGCTTCGAACGGCGCCCTTACAAACTACTCAGATGACACAGCAGGACGGAATCTCGAAACATGGCAAGACCTAGTGCTTGCGGTCTCTATCACGGTCACGATCGCGGTGGTATGATGACCCACGACTCCTACTCCTATCCCTGCTAGGCGACCTGCACACATGATCTGTTTATAAGCCCATGCGTTTGAACAGCCAGGTCGAGCAGATATCGGTGGGAGGTAACAACAGCTAGGACTAAGAACCAGCCAGATTCCTTTAGGCGCCAGACTTGTGCACCTGTCTGGCGCCTAAAGGATCAAGTGCAAGAACTAGGAAGCACTTGTCGAGCGTTGAGGCACTCACCTTTATCCACCGCTTGAAAGTTGTCTTGGAAAATCAAGGATGCATTCAAGCATAATTCAGATTACTTGGGCGTGCTCAAGAAACAGCCTTTCTGTTACGTCAGAAAGGCAGTGAATGCAACATATACGGCTGGAAAGAGAGTCTGATCACCACCTCGAGGGGGAGCGGGAGGGGCTTCTCCGGCTGGAGCGGTATGGACTTCGACTGCGATGCCGCCTGGAAACGAAAAGAGACTACCAAGCGTCACAAAGAGGAAAGCAACAAAATTGAAGGCAGAACTGCACCGTGAACCTTCCACTTTCGGCCTTTCTTGCGACCGTCACAAAGACAGATATTGTCAGCACAGACGCTGAGCTGCGGAATCGTTGTCTGTGTGAACGAGCAAACGTGCGCGCAAGTGCTTGACAATTACTGCAAAAAGTTTCAGTTTCCCATCACCACCGGATCAGAAATACATCATAAAATTAAAGAACAAGCTGATCCATTGCTTACTGAGGCGGCGACCGGCTGCGCCTCCGCTCTGAGTGTCCTGCCAAACGGCGCGTCTCCTCTAGCTTTTGCTGCCGAAGTTTGTCGGCTTCCCGCTTCTTCTCACTCTCACTCACGGTGTCTTTCTTTACTGCAGAACGAGAAGCACGCCCAAACGCTAGTTAGTGAAGAACAACGTCGGAAACGCCACTGCTTTGCTAAGCTCTTTCAATTCTGTATTGCAATGAGAGGTCTGCATCTCATTTGAACGATAAGTTTTCGGCCAACAATGACCGAGTACTTGCGCAGTTCTCGATTTGCCAGCCCAGACGATAAGCAAAGCGAACAACGGTTCAAGAGACGGCTGTCTCGATCTTCAAATATGTCCGCTCGACTCGCTCGACTCGACGCGACTCGCTTTTCCAAACCCCAGCAGAGCACAGATACGCATGAATGTTACGAGTTGCAAAGCGGTCCCCCGATGTCCGCGAACCGTCTTGAATACGGAGATGGCGTCGAGATGGGTGTACTTACTTTGCTTTGTGAGCTGCTTACTCATGATCCGTTTCAGCCGTTCCTGCGGCGTCTCTTTCTTTTCACCGGGCGCCTTTGAAGGGCCGACGCTGCCCTTGCTGAGCTTGGCGAGAGCGGCTGACGTCGCATCTCTGCACATTCAGAGCGCCAAAGATGACGCTAGAAGCTCAGCAAGTCGCCGGCCTCGCAATGCAACACGCACTGGGACCTCACTGCAGGGACTGGGAAAACCAAAGAGCAAACGCCGTGCAAAGCACAGTCGATTGAACACATTCAGCGGTCCCTAAACGGCGTCCAATAAGCGGAGCAGTGCGTACCTGGAAGGGGGAGCCCTTGGCTCTGATGTGCGAATGTGCGGTTTTGGCCCAAGGCCTACAACCCCGGGCGCTGCTGCTTGCGCAGGATCAGAGCGCAGGGCCTCAAGAATTGTGCCCGGGCCAGAGGACCCGTCACTGGAGAATGGAAGCCGAACAAATACGAGGCACGAGAAAGGAACAGAGAAAGAGAGGACAGCGCAAAGGAATGGAAACGACGGTTGCATGCGATGGAAGGAAAAGGAACCGAGGAAGAAGACCCACCAGAGAAGGAAGACGCCGGAGCAGGGACACAAAGGCAACCTTTCAGTTTGAGTTCATAAGAGTGTTCGGAGGAGCATTACGAGCTAATCAAGGCGACGGAGAATCAAGAGCAGCAAGCTGAATGAAGTAACTTGCAGCGACAAAGCACTTTTAGACGTGCCATGCGGTTGCGAAAGATCGTCAGTTGCACCTTCAACGAGGGCATGTGGTCATTCAGTGGCTAAAGCTTGAATCTAATCTTCTGCCTCTCGGAGCATCGAAACCTGCCTGTCGTTGCGAGTGTCATTCTTTGTTTCCTGAAACCCTTGGGCGCAGTCTTTACCACATAGGGGTCACTCGATGTAGCCAAGAAGGAGACGAGAAACAGGGTGAGATTGTCCGACCGGCTAGACTTCTCAGGCGGGGGAATTGGGGGAGGCCCTGACGGCAGCCCCGATAACGACCCCTCAAACTCAGTGATGAATTCCGTTTTCGGCAGGGCTTCGCGTTCTGAGCGGCCGCGATGACTGGAGCTGCGGCGATAGTAGGGGGACGGGCTGCGAGACCGGGATCGTCGTCTGCACATTAGACAGACGGAGGCATTGAAACGCAGTGGTTTCTTCAGAGAAGCTGCGGAACAAGTTCTCGGAGCAAAACAAGGAGATGTTTCGGCCAGGCTCTGCTAACGGAACGGATTCAGATCGCATCACACCACCTTGCAGGAGAAAAGTAACGCTTTCTTACTCACGAGAGAAAAACTCCTGCCTTCTGCAACGGCATTCAGGAGGTCCCTAAAAATCGTGTAAAATGAAAGGCAACCGGAGTATCTAGATCAACAACTCGGGTCATCCGGCGGCTATGCCAAACAAGACCTACAGACGGCAGGATGCCTCACCTTCTTGCTGGAACAGGATCATATGAGGGACTGGAACGGCGTTCAGACCTGTGACGAAAGAAATATCAGTTGAGGTGGGCAGATCATAAAATGGTCGAGGACATCTCAAAGAGAAGACGCAAACTGACTGCGAAGGGGAGGGGAGATATAGAGACACAGCGACTTAGCAACGAATTGAGCGGCGGGGAGAAAGGAGCTTCACCTCGCCGGCTCCACTGGGAATTTAGGCTTGTCCTTGTTCAAGAGTCCAGCTTTTTTGCGCTCCTTCCGGTTCATCTTTTTCTGCACACATAGAAACACACGCTTGTGGCTAGTGGCAGAGAAACCAGGACTGTCAGTTCCTGCTTCTGAGAACTATCATGTCAAAGAACTCAACCCTTATTTTCAAATCCCCCGAAATGACATTGAAGGTTTTCGAGAAAGAAATATTCTACTTCGTAACAACTGTATACAATTACTTGTCTCCGACAGCCAGATGGAAAGGCACTCACACGGCCTGCTCGACGTTTATTGAACGACTGTCAAGAATTTTTTTTATGCAGGATATCCACCAGGCTGTGCCACTCATTTTCATCAATTACCAGCTTCTTCGAAATTAGAAAAAACTTGAAAAGTGAGCGGCTAAAAACACTACTCACTTGACCGGGTTCAGTATGATCTGCTGCGTTCTTTGCCGCCCTTGCATCTGCCCGAGCCTTCTTGTCTGAGCGGACCAACCGATGAAACTCTTCGACCCCATAACCTTCTGCCAGTTTCTCGATGTCCTCGTCTTCAGAATCATCGCTGCTGCTCTCCTCCGACCCACGCGGAGACTTCTCATCCTCGTCGCTCTCTTCTTCTTGAGGAGGCGCAGAGCCGTCATATGAATATCCGATCTTGGCATAGCTTTGCTTGCCGCCACTTGACTTCTCCCTGCAGAGCGGATTAGCAGGGACATTGCTGACACTGTATGTCCAGTATCTGCACGACCTTGGGAAGCAATCGTCAAAGAATCAAGTTCTCTCACTTCCAGAATTCTTATGCTGCCTCTGAACCATGCAATGAGTGTAAGGGATGATCTTTTCCTCAGGGTGTTGGCGGGGGCCTTGACTAAATAATCAAATAACAACAACAACAACAACCTTCTTGCATCTGCAAGGCAGAGTTCTGAATTTGTTACAATGCTTTGTATCTCTGTCCGACTTACTTGTCAGTTGCGGTTGCTGCCTTGGCTATGATGGCTTCCTCAACTTCCTCAAGGCCTTCTTCGTCAGTCACTGCGTGGACAGGAACATCTCGTTAGTACACGCGTCAACAAATAAAAAACCACAGGCGAAAAGTGCACTGGCACTGTACCAGTATGCCTGAGCAATTCTAATTAGCATCAGCGCAAGCGAGGTTGGAACCTGCTTATTAAGGCCACTTACATCCTTTGCGCCGTTGCTTGATTATGTCTTTGTATCTTTCGTAGTTGCACAGCTCATCGAGTTCTTGCTCTTCCTCAGTCTTCTCCCTTGGTGGCCGCAACTTTGGGTCATACTGACGAATGAAATCGAGAAGCGCCCGACCATCAAATCTGTAGAAAGTAGATTCTCACCAGCTTTGCTGAGAAGAACAGCCAATCTTTCTTCACATTCGTACATTCATCTAATATTGCCTGCACCGCTCCCGACGGATGTGAATTTCCAATCGAACACCTCTTGATGAGGTAGCACTTGACTCTCTCTGACATGAGGGCAACCGTCTGCACAACTTCAAGCAAAATGATGTCCATTTGCAAGCAACAATGACTGGGGTGTACTGGCACTTACCTGTCAATCAGATGGTCTTCCTTGCCATTCCAAGCAATCCTGCATCAAGAGAAGTCATTTCGTTGAAGCTGAACTTCAGACGGAAGTCTTGGCCAAAGATCTGTGACAATCCTCAGTTTCCAAGGTTTTGATCAACACATTTCCTGTCACAAGTTTCTGAGACTTGCTGTCGGTTGCTGGTGGCAGCTAGACACTGCGTTGCATCGAGTGGTGTAAGAAATATATCCACAAACTCACTGGAGCAAACTAAAACAAGCTGCCCGCACATGCACTACAGATTGACTAGTAACTGCTTACAGTCCTTCATTGTTCTCAGTGGCACGATACGCGCCAATGTCATGGTGTAGCTTGCAGCTTGTGCCGGTCACCCTCAGGCTCTGCACAGGATCACCCCGCATAATTGCAAACCATGCTGCTTTCTTTTCAGCCCGCACTTTGGCTGCGTCCATGTAAGCATGGACTTTCCGCTCCGTCTTTCGCGCCTCCTGCCACATCTTGGCATTGGCTGCAGTAATCGGGAACCTCTGCTGCCTCTTCCAAAGTTTGTGGCACCAATATATTGTCTGCCAGCGCTTCGAGACTGCACATTCAAGCGGTATATTGCAGTTTGTCAACCTTTGCTTAAACAATTGGTCATGAGACGAGAAAAGCCCAACTGAAGGAGCTGCTTCAATTATCGCTCCGCACAAGCTGCGCACACAGTGGCCCTCCGCCGCCCCCTTGAACTTCAAGTTCAAGTGAAGACAAGCTCGCTCCTCGCTGAATTCAACTTCAACTTCAAGGCTCTGGGCTCCTATAAACCCGTTGGTTAAAGGGGGCGTCGGGGCCTTGGCTTCGCAGCGACAATATGGCGTACTCTTGGGGGTAAAGTTCGCCACGAAAATGCCCAAAAACACGGGCGGCAGCTGCCGTCGGCACCGAGTTTGGGGTAAAACAGTGCCGTCGGCATCGTGGGCCTGACGGAAGGGGTACGCGTCGCAGACGCCCCCTTTAAAGTGGGCGTTCTGTGACACATGACGCCGGACGCTAAAGGTGTACCGGCAGCCGTGGGTCACGATCCGTCAGTACTTGTACCGTCGATGCCAAGAGATCGACGGATCGGCATGCACTCTGTGCTTGAGCCAAGACTTGGTGCTCGGTTGAACCTCATGACTCCGGCGTACGGCAAAACCGCAAACTCCCCTCCTTCAAGCCGGGAAGCTCGGGTAATTGATAAGTCGCTGTGAGTACCTTGGACCTACGCAAAGCGCCGGAGTCACCGGGTCGTACAATCTTCTGAATATGAAGGTCACACAAGTCACTTCCAGACTATCGGGGCTTACCTTAGTAGAAACTACTGTGAAACTGTGTGCGGCGCTCTGCGGGACACCAAAAAAGGACGCACTTTTGCAGGATTCGAACCTTCGACTTTTCGGCCGTTGACACTGCGCCCTACCATTATGCTACGCCCAATCCCCCGGGCACTATGTTGTCCGCGAAAATTCAAGCCAAAGGGGGTCTTATAGGGGCACGCCCACTTTAAGCGTAGATTACGATTTTAAACCGAACCCCTGCCAACTTGCGGCCGCGGGGTGACCCGCCGGGTCGGACCCGCCACCGCGCGCCGGCGCGTTCACTGCACAGGCGAGATACAAGACTGACAAGTGGGTTCGAAAACTGTTCTGACCACTTATATATGAGCAGTTCGGCCAGTCAGGCATCAAGCGTGCTCACTTTCTAGGTCCAATACAAAAGGAATCACTTGGATTCGTCATGATGAATCGCAGCTGGCGCAACGGAATGCCGTGCAGGACATCGACGCAATTGCCACACATACAGCTGTGGAAGGGGTACAGAAAGCGCTCGGGAGTTGCTCACAATCTGAACAGCAGCTTCGAAGCTTCAAAACAGAGTCGCATTTATATCTTCAAGAAGTTCAGTCTAACGCCGGCATGTCCAAAGAAGTTTGCCCGTTTATTACATATATTGAGTCTCGTCAGCTTGCTACTAGTCCCGGTCTAGCACCTGGGAACCTGGGAACCTGGTGATTCTGCCGGGCCGGCGCATGCCGGGGCCCAAGGACAGCGAAGCCATCTCGAAACAGCGCTCGCCGCGCTGATGCAGCTGTCATTAGCCCACACAGTAATCTTATCTCTAACCGTCTCAACAAATAATCTCCACAACGTCCCAAGACCAGCTATCGTCCTACAGCTATCAGACTACCGTTAAATACCAAATGAAGGTCGCCCAGAGATGGTGAACAGGGCAAGGCTCAGCTTTGCGGGTACGAAGATTATTCAATCGGATTGCGGAGAGCAGCTCCTGCAAATGGGTTGCAAATAGTCCGCTTACGAAACCACTCTGCATATACATCATGTTCTTTGTTGTTGTACGTTCTTGAATTCCGCTATTCACTTTCTGTATCCACGTCACACCATGAGAGTGCGAGTAGGGCGTTCCTCTTAAAGACAATTGTAAGGGGCGCGCCTAAAGTATATCAGCTGTTGCCGGCAGTCGGGTCTCCGTACTGGTCGAAGGTAGACCTTCAATGACGATGCTCGTAGTCGAAACAAAGGAGCCTTGACGACATTGCTTACAATCCCCCCTGATCGGCTATTGACGGCTATGAGCGGCGCTTACATTTGATTCGCCGTCCTTTCAGCACCAACTTGAGATCAAACCATCCTGTGCACCGTATCCTCACAGAGACCTTCATAAATGAAGGGTGTGTTGATCAAAGACATTTGCACTCATTCATATGTGCCCACCAAAGACGTTTCGACGTCCTTCCAAAGCCAGTGCAGTGAGAGTAACAGGCAACGTGCTTTGGAACGACGTCCTCTTGCAGGTTCCTTATCACATCGAATCATGCAGATTTGTCACGAGCACATGTAGAACGTGATATCTACAGAATTGACGAGTGGGCTGCTTACGGACCCTCCGAAAATAGCATGATAAGGACCGAGTCGACTTGTAGCAAACTGATCGCTGCAGTGTCATCGAAGCTACTGAAAAGCAGACTCATAACCTATGGAAAATTAACCGATGGGCAGTGTATGTCTCGTTTGAAGTGGTCGGCTCATGATGCACACAAGACTTCTCAACGGTGGTCAACGGTGGGCAATCGATGTGAACGGGTCCAAGCCACCTTTCTCGAGACACATTTGTCCGGTTTGCAAAAAGTAGAAGCCATCGTTGGACGACCACACATAAATCAAGCTCGAGATGGGCACATTTCAAGTAGAAGAGTAGCTCGGACGTGCCGCCATCAACTATCACAGTATGTCAAACCTACATCTACCAGTAGAGTACTTTTTGCTTTGCAGATGCCTCTACGCTGCAGACCGGTGCGGAAAGAAAATGCCCTGCAAGGTCGCCGTACTAATAGTACTTTACGCCTGGGGAGGTCCTGACTGACCAGGCCCACATTGCTAAGTCAAACAGTCCTACCATTATGACACTCTTTCTTGGAGTAGCTAGCAGCACTCACTAGGAGGCTTATCACCCAGTCCTGGGAGCTTTAATCTTATACCTCTGATCCAGCCGGGGCTTGCGTCAGCGAGTCAACGTCATCGACGTTGCGCATCTTCTGCTTGCGGAAGATAGCTGTCCAGCAGCCCGGCCCAAAGCTCTCGTAGGTAGGCATCCAAAGGCCGCAGCACCGAGCAATGCCCAGGACGAAGAAGTAGAGCGCCGCCATCACTAAAAAGATCCACATACTGATTGCAATGATTGCGGCTACGAAAGTAAGACATTGCAACCATATAATCTCTCCGGTCGACGTCGGTTCAACTCCGGGATAGAACCAATCTTGCACCTGATTGCAGCTGTCCGCGAACCTATGTAGACTTGAAACACCTTCCTGATGGTGCAGAGGTAGAGAGTTGTATCATCACCGTTGGATCTAAGGAAGTGGTTTATGATTTCTGCGTCAGGCAGCTGCCGATATGGTAGCATCCCCAGGAAATTGTATCTGTTGACGTAAAGCAAGGTTATCAGGAAGCTGAGCGGCACAGGAATCCTGTACCATATCACCACGTAGGTGTCGTGCAAGATCCTGGCGGCGCTGGTACTGCTCGCACTAAAAGTCTCCGAGAGCTTGGGAAAACGCTCCTTTACTTTCAGGTTGCAAATGTCTACCCGCTGCGCAAGCGACCTGTTACAATGGCAGGCAAGCACACCAAAGTAGAGGAGCACGAAGAGAGCCAGCATCCAAAGCAAGCAGGCTGCTTGAAGGACGTGCACAGTCTTCCACTGTTTGTTAGCTCCTTCATCTCCTCCAGGAGCACTCCCGCATCCTTCAGGGTGCTGGATGGTGTAGTAGTCCAGCGAGCGGGCGTAAAGATTGCTCAGCTTGCAGATTTGTAGCTGAACTGCCGGTGAAGACGGATCAAGTAACGGGCTTGACTGATTCCTGAGAAAGGCGTTGATCGGACCTGGATCAGGCAAGCTAAAGCTCCCGTTCACATCAATGTGGATCGTGTACGACTCGCTCCTTTGAACAAACATCCCAGCGACCAGAACGAAGAACAAAGCCCCATACCGCAAAATGAAGGGCGCCATGTTGAAGACTTGGGAATTCCAGTAATTGTGATCTGTATGCCAAAAGCTTGAGGCGTTCTGGATGGCGTCCGCTAGTGACTCGCTCTCAGACGTCGGACTGAGAGAGAAGCTAGAAGCCAGTTCGACGTGGTTCGATGCTTCGTCGCTTTCCGCGCGCCCGCACCTAGACTGAAACCTCAAAACCCTGCAGGCTTTTGGTCGCGGCGCGGCCGCGCTGGACTCCGTCGATCGTCGAACGCACGCATGCACCTTCACCTTCGAGTCACAGGTATACAAGTGGAGGTTCGAGGAGGCGCTTTGAACAAGGTGAATGCTCTCAAACCTGTAAACACCTTTTTGGAAAAGGCTCACTTAAGGACACATGACCACCATGATGCACGCTCAGGTAACACAAACAGACGCTCCAAAATGTATAGCTAAAATGTTTCCTTCGAGAATATTCAAGTTCCATGAAGCAAGTCAGACCTAAACAAACTCCTTTAGGAAGTGTTCTGATTTTGGTTCATTATGTGACCGTCGTGGAAGCGGTACCCTCTGGTGTCCCCCTGGTGTATATCTCTCTGCTTAAAGATTGACAAAGTCAACCAAGCAAGTGTCGCAAAGCTTTACGTTCCAAAGTAAACGTAAGATGCATGTGTCAAGGGTTCTGGGTTTGCATAAGGTTCATCTTTGTAGACAGGCCGCAAAAGACAGCCAAGTGCCACCATTACAGATTGCCGCGCGCAACCACTAATGGATCTGCTCAAACGCGAGCGGACTTTCGATTGAATTCATTACCCATACAATTAAAACCAAAAGAGGGGCACAGCAGTTAGCTTCTTGCTGTCACTGCCACAACCCAGTTTCGAAGTTCTTGGTTGCGGATGCGCAATTATACTGGAGGGCTGGTTTGAAGACGCCTTTTGTTATGGTCAGGAGAAAAGTCGCATGTTCCTTCACCTGTTCCTTCACAGCTCAGTTTTGGTTCAACTCGCGAATCACATGTGCAGGGTTTTGCATTACTTTCTCTCAATGCCTGACTTTTCTGATCGAACAGGCAACTTTACAACCAGGACGTTGTTAGACCTTGCCGAGTCGGAGCAGGGCAGGAGCGATTCGCAGGTGAGGATCTTCCCAGTGAAAGCTCTCACCTCGACGTAACGATGAGGAAGGCTTGCTTGAATGGAAGTACTGTAGGGACAAAGCCGATCTACTTTCTGATTCATGTTCCAAGCTTGCAAAGTACAATCTCCCTTTCCAGCAGACTGTTACGAAAGAGCGTTTCTCGACACGCAATGCTCAAAACTTGCACGAGTGGGCCCCTTTCCACATGCTGCCAGCTGTCAGAGCAACCGCTGCTGCCGTTTTCGTTCAAGCTAATCCTCAACCTAGCCTTGCCGCTCCAATACGTTCACCAACAGCCAGGTAGAAAAGGTACGACGTAACCTGCCGTCATCTGAGTCTTCTGAGAACGGCGCTTCTCCCTGTGTATGGCAGGTGCAAGTGGCGCAAACGTCGATCTTCTGATGGCCCTTAACGCTACCCTGGGCCCTGTCGTCACCGCTGCGATCGGCCCGCCATGGAAGCTGCCATCAAAGATTCAGTTGACGCCGAAATGGGCCCCGCCATAAATGCGGCTATTGGTCCAGCCATAAATGCAGCAGTAGGCCCCGCCATAAACGCTGCGATCGGTCCCGCCATGGACGCAGCTATTGGCCCCGCCATTGAAGATGCCATTGAAGGTGCCATCGAAGCTGCAATTGACGCCGAGATGGGCCCCGCCATAGACGCGACCATCGGCCCAGCCATAGAGGAGGCTGTTGGCGCCGCCATAAGTGAAAGTATTGGTCCAGCCATAAACGCAACAGTGGCCCCCGTTTTAAACGCAGCAATGGACGCAGCGATTGTTCCAGCTATAAACGCGGCATTCGCGAGCCCCGAAGTGAAAGCGATTTTCGAAGCCCAGAGCACAAACTTGCAGAACCTGATAAGAAGCAGAAGCAACCGGGCGGCCCTTTGGGGCGTGGACGAACACCTGGACCCCTTGTTCCGGCTTTCCGCCAGTCCGCCGGACCTGCCTCCGCGGAACCGGTTCCCCGCGACCACCAAGAAGTTCTTCAGCTGGATGGCTGTCGGATCTGCACGGGCGGCCAACAACGAGTCCATCGACTGGCTGCTTGACTTCTACGGGGTGATGGATCCGGTCACGAAGGTTCCGTTTCCGCCGAGAAGTGTGCTGGCGGAAGGTAAGCCCGGGGACGATGAGCTCGAACGGAAGCACGGCCTGCTTCGCCATCACCTGACGGGGCTCACATATTACGACACCGTAGAAGCACAACAGTTGTAGGCCGTTTAGTAGTTTAGGAAGTTCTGGCAAGCGAAGAGTCAGCTTGACGTCAACGTTCTGTTTCTAGACATGTGCAGACGCATGGCCCCGGTCAGCCTGATTTAGATGAACAGAGCAATTGGGTGCGCTGTTGATTGGCTAGTCATGATTATCCATGGTAGCTTCCAAGACGAATCAAAATGTTTTAAGCTTCTCGTGACTTACCTTGTCGGTCAAATTACTCTTGAAGACCATCGGTGCGCCGCGCGATTATAGATGGAAGCACA